AGGCTGGCCTAGGCCTCACAATCCTCCGGCCTCAGCCTCAAGCACTGTGACTATAGGTTTATGTCTGTGCCACTGCAGTCTTTTTTTTTTTTGAGACAGGGTCTCACCAGGCTGGTCTTGAATTCACTGTGCAGCCCAGGGTGGCCTCAAACTTACGATCCTCCTGCCTTGGCCTCCCGAGTGCTGGGATGACAGACATGCACCACCACGCCCAGTTAGGATTTCTTTTTTTGCCCTCTCTCTTTCCCGCCCTCCCTTCCTTTATTTTCTCTTTCTTTCTTTCTTTCTAATTTTTTTTATAGCACTAAGGATGGAAGCCAGGGCTTAATGAATTTAGGCAAATACATATCACTGAGCTCCAGTGATATAGTAGCTGCAGCCCTTTGTACTTTTTAATTTTGACGAGATTAGGCATGTTCAGGGTGATATGGCCGTAGTGTTGGGGTTTTTTTTTATTATTTTCAGACAGTCTTGCTATAGGCTGGGCTTGAACTTGCAGTCCTCCTGCCTCAGCCTCCTAAGTAGCTGGGGTGGCAGCGTCAGGAGTTCTTAAGACTTTTTCCATACACTTCCGGTGCATCTCAGTGAGTGGAAATACCCGCTGTGGCGGCTGTTTGTGTACCCTGGTTCGCACCTGTCACATGGGCAGCCTGGGGCCATTTTGGGGGATGCTTGTCTCCACACGGCGGGTGGCGTCCTCCAGTGGTCAGGTGACTGTCGTCTGGCTTCCCTGCGGGAGCTGGAGAGGTCTAGGTGGCCCTGGGCAGTGTGGACATGGCTGCAGCAGCCTGTGACTCCCGCTGGGGCACACTTCTAGCCCTCTGTGCTCCACTGGAGGGGTGGCCAGGTGGTGGCCAGGGCCCTCCGTCTGCACCCTGGGCAGCGTGCAGCTTGTGAGCTGCCCGGGCCAAGAGGGCATCATGGGCTCTCGGCAGCCCGGCACAGCTGGCCGGGGGCCGCTTTTGCAGAAGGCCTTGTGTAACAATGCCAGGTGTCTTTGCTGTCACCTGACCTTCCCAGTGGCCAGATTCGATGGCAGATGAGGACTTGCTCTTGTTGAATGCTCCCCAGCCTGGGACAGCAGCTCTCATTGCACCTTTGCCAGGCAATGGCCCTGGTGTCTCCACGCTGGCCCTGTCACTCGGGACTGCCCGCCTTGCTGGCCTGCGGGGTGTGTAAGGCCCCATCCTTTCTCTCCCTGAGTTCATCTAGTGAAACACACAGGGCTGCTGCCCCTGGGATTCCCCAGTTCAGCTGTGATGGTGGCTTCCCGGGCAGGTCCCCCAGGGCAGCTGAGAACATCCCCAGCGCTGCAGGTGTCGAGCAGCAGATGCCAGCATCCTGCCCCAGTGCAGCCACAAAGGTCTGTGGGCACTGCCAGTATCCCATCCCGGGGCTGAGCGCTGCTGGCAGGACTCCTGCCAGAGGACGCTTCTGTCAACCTGTGCTGGCCCTGGGGGCGGATTTCACAAGCCACTTCCTGTTGCTTCATCTCGGAAGCATCTTGGTTCTGGGGAGAGGATCAGGGGTTTCTGGGCCATCAAGAGGTTCCTCCTCCCCAGCCCTGTCTCAGCAGAAAAGGGGGGCCTCGCCCCTTCCGCTGTGTGGCACTGCGCCTGCCCCTTTCCTCCCTCCCGGGCATCGCCATCTTGACTTAATCATGGCCTTGTTGTGGGGCCTGACGTGGGCCGCCTGTGTCCCCGTCCTGTGTGGGTCTGTCTCGGCCCCGGGCCCTCAGCATGCAGCATGGCACCGGGTAGGGGGACAGAAGTCCTCAGGGGACCTGCAAAGGCTGGGCGCTGGGGCTGCCTGCGGTCTAGTCTGCCCAAGGTGCCACTCCCCAGCCATGGAGACCGGCCTGGGGAGGGTCCTTGAGTCACTCAGCGAGGGTCCACCTCCCACCTGGGCCAGCTCCAGGGCCACTACGGTGAGGGACCCTGATGGCCCCAGGCTGGCCTGGGCCCCCATTCCTGCTGTGTGGTGAGGTGACAGCCCCCGGACCGGCGGCCCTCTTTGTGCTCCCTCTGTCTGCCCGGCTCCCTCAGCTTCTCTCCAGCCGCTGAGTCCACCTTGGCCGAGCTAAGCTCTGCTGAGCTCTGGACTTCCCACCCAGCCCCTTCTGCCTCAGCTCACCAGCGCCAGGGATCCAGGACTGCCAATTCCAGAGCCCTTGCTCCCCGACCCCCGTCCTCTCGGCTCTGCCTCTGCGTGCTGGCGTCCTTTTCCCCTGGACTCTGTCCTGCCCTCCTGCGAGAGTTGGACAGGGGTCTGAGCATCCAGCCCCTTGCAGCAGAGGAATTGAGAGAACCCCCCCCCCGGGACAGTGCACAGTGTCGCGGGGTGTTTCTGGCTGCTCCCCTCTCCCCCAGGGTGTTGGTGCGCGTCCCAGCCCCTTGTCCTCCTCCAGCGCCCATCTGCTCCCCAGCCATGAGCAGGAAGCTTCCCCAAGGAGCCAGCCGGGAGGTGGAGTGCCCTGCAGTTGCTTCCTCCCTTGGGCACCTCCAGCCTGGGCCACCACATCCACTGCTAGACAGCCACAGCTGGAGCTGGGTGTGCCGGTGACGCATGCCTGTGATCCCAGCATCCTGGGAGGCTGAGGCAGGAGGATTGCAGGTTTGAGCCCAGCCTGGGCCACCTAGCAAGTTAGTGAGACTGTGTCTAAAAGATGACAGTGGGTGAAGGCCCTGGGTTCAGCCTCAGCACACCTTGCCCCACAAAAGAGCCCTCTGTGTGCCAGGCGCTGTGCCCAGTGCCAGTGCTAAAGCAGTGGATGAGTCTGTGACCTCCTGGGTCTCGGGGCTGTGTGCAGGGAGCCAGCTGGGTTGTACAGACAAGCCACATGACCCTGCACCCCTAGGTAGACAGGGGCGGGTGCAGGCTGGGCCGTGTCTCAGCCAGCTTTGCCCCAGTTCTTCAGAGTGACAGAGTGACAGGAGCTGGTATGCATTGTGCAAGTGAAGGGGACTTGAACAGCAGCTGCTCAGTTACACCTGGGAACTTTATTCGGGACAACAGAAACTTTTGTTTCATTCGAAGAAGGGGCCCATTCCGAGCAAACACCCCCTCCCCCTCCACTTAACAAAATTTTAAGTGCCGGGGTTACTGCTGTGGACCTAGTGACGCCCAAGTCCTTTCAGCATGGGGTAGAACTCTTCAGAAAGCCTGCTTTACCTCAGCTTGCCTGCAGGGACTTTGATTTTGTGCTGTGTCATTAAACGCTGCAGCCTGGCCTCGGAGTTGGGAGTTGGTGAAAGGCAGGGCGTGTGGCCCTGGGCCCTGGGACGTCAAGGTACCCCCACTCCAGTGGCGCCTCCTCCCGGGGCCTGGGCACGGCCACAGGGATGGGGAAGGTGACAGGGCAGGAGTCTCCCCGCAGGAGGAGCAGTGTGCTACAGACGGGGCTTCGCCAAGCTGCTGAGCCTGTGGGCTGGTGCCTGGTGTGTCACCTGTGTCCAGGGACACCAGTCACGCCCCTGCCTTTGTGCCCATGTCTTCCAGGTGGTAACTAGTCTGCTGCTAGCGGCCAGGCCAGGCTGTGTGACCAGGCTTCTGTGGCTGCGGCCAGGGCGACCATCTCTGTAAAGGCTGGACAGGTGGCGTGCAGGACGTGGGGGGGGGGCAGCCCACCACCGTGCTGCTGAGCAGCAGGCGACCCCACACAGCCCGCATGCCAGAGGCTGGGCCCTGCCGGGCCTGGTCACTGGAGACGCACTTGAGCTCAGCACTCTGCAGCCTCTGCCCCTCTGGGAGCAGCCCGGTCCGGAGACGCCCTCGGGGACTGAGTGCAGGGAGGCTTCCGGCCTGGCCTGTGGGAGCAGCTGTGGGAGGCACGGTCCTGGCTCTGCCGCCAGCCCTGCACACTGGGCCCTGGCTCTGTCCCACATTGGGGCTGTGCCTGCTCAGCCTCGCCATGTGGGGACACTGAGTCGTGGGGCCACCTTGGCATCCCCAGCCACACCCCAGCGTCGTACCGGCCCCTGAGGCAGTGCCGCTCTGCCTCACTGTCTCCTCGGCCCCAGGAGGACCTTGTGTCACTGAACAATTTCCTTTCACCCATTTCTTGCTCACATGTTAAGAATGACTAACAGAGCCAGGTGTGGTGGCACACACCTATAATCCCAGTACTCGGGAGGCTGAGACAGGAGGATCTTCTGTTCAAGCCCACCCCGAGCAATTTAGTGATTTAGTGAGACCCTGTCTCAGGATAAAAAATTTAAAAAGGCCCGGGTTCCATCCCCAACTCTCCAGATTAACAGAGCCTGGGTCCATTTGCCTATCTGCTCAGTGGCACCACCAGGCTCAAAGTGGTGGAGCTGTTCTTCATCCCAGCCCCAGGAGAAAGGCGGCTTGGAGTGGGGCGCGGTCCCTGGTCTCCTGGGCAGTTCCCACATTCGCTGGGGGCCCTGCCTCAGCCCTGGGCACGCTCTGCTCTGCTTCTGCCCCTGAGTCCCCTGCCCAGGGTGGGCACGGCGGTGGCTGCGCCCTGGTTTCTCACCTGTCCCGTGTCCATGGCCCGACTTCCATCTGGAGGGTGCTTTCGAGGCAGGATGTGGCCAAGCTGCTGCCTTTGTGGGGATGGAAGGGGCTGTGCAGGCCCTGGCACGAGTGTGCCCAAGTCACCCTGTCCTCCCCCTAGCTGTTTCTGGCATTCTGAGTTCTGCCCTCCTTCCTTCCCACGAGAGTCACAGCCCAGTGACGGGCTTGAGGGCATGGTGTGGACTCCTGACCCAAGTCCAGGCCCACTGCCAGCCTCTCCATCAAGGCTGCTGGCTTGAGGCCCTGGTTTTGCCACTTATGAAGCCCCAGCCCTGTGTCTGTTGGAGGAACTCCTATTGATGCTTCAAAACCCAGCTCCAGTGACCCATCCTGAGGTGTTAAGGCACATGCAGTTTTCTTGCTTCCCCTGGCGACACTGACTCCATCCTGCTCCATGTGCAGCTGGGAAGTTTGCCTGGATTTCTCACTCTGTGTTGACATTTTCCCATTCTGTTTGATTGTAGGATTCTGTGTCACTGAGACCATCGATCCGATTTCAAGGAAGCCAAGGGGTGAGTTGGTTTTGTCTCTGTCAGTTTGGAGTGGTGGGACCTGGCCCCAGAGGCCTATGCTAGCCCTGTTCACTTCTGCTGGGGCTGAGCCAGGCTGCCCCCAGGCCCTCGGACACCCCTTCCTGCTTGCCTGGCCTACAGGCTGGATCACACGACCCCTGCAGTCAGAAGAGGCCGGGGCCAGCTGAGGAGGCACACGCCTGCCACCCAGCGCCCGGAGGTCAAGGGCTGTGGGGTCCCAACCTAGGTGGGAGGCCCCGACTCAGAGAGAAAAGGGGCCCTCACTGCCCCGAGATAGGCTCCATTCTGCTCACAGAACCTGGTATCCAAGCCAGGGCCTTTGCCCCAGCTCTGCTAAGTTGCTAAGTTGCCCAGGCTGGCCTCAGACGAAATCCTCCTGCCTCACCCTCCCAGAGTGCTGGGCTTGCAGGCCTGCCTGGCTGACACTCTTCCTTTGACATGGCAGTCTCGCAGAAACACTGGGGGAGGAGAGAGGCTGAGGTGCCCACAACGCCTGCCCGGGTCTCAAGCCCGGTGCCGCCCACTGGCGCATGGGGTTTGCCGCTGCTCCCGCCTTTCCTGCACTGTGTCCTAGGGGGTCTGACCCGGGCGTGAGGACCTGGGTCCACTGTCAGGACCTGCAGAGGCCCCGTGGGGCTGGCGTCTCCGAACCCTCAGAGCCTGTCTCCTGGGGACGCTCAGACCCTGGCATGGGCGGCTCCTGAACCAGGGAGCGAAGGGTCGCTCGGCCTGGGGGTGACGCTGAGCCCCGTGTCCTCCACCCCTGCAGCCTAGGACACGCCCCCGGGGTCATGGGTTAGGGGTCAGCGTCCTGCTGCCCAGGTCCCCTCCCAGCCCGGAGGATGGCGCCCCCTGGTGGCCACAGCTGGCGTGTGGTGGGAGGGGCGCCGCACAGCCGTGTGGGCCTGGTCCCAGCCACAGCTGGAGTCGCGCTGCACACACGGAGGCTGTGACAGCCGTGGTCGCCACCAGAGGGCGCTCCTCCCTCGCTTGGCTTCTTCCAGCCTCCTGCTGTGCAGCCGGGGGGGGGGGTTGGGGGGGGACACCCCTCCCCAGCGTGGTCTCCAGGCGGGGGAGTGGGCGGGCGCTGCAGAGTGGGGCCCGGGCCCTGGGTGCCACGAGCAGGGCCTGCCTCTGTGTGCCTCAGTTTCCTTCCCCGAAGACGAGGCAGGGCTGTGACACGCTGAGACTTCGGCTAGAACTATGGGCCCCACTACGCTGTCCGTTCCCTCGCCTGAGGCCCGGCCTTAGGGCCGCAGGGGCTCGGGCTGCAGGCGGAGGTGGCAGGGAGAGCCGCTCAGGTGCTGATCGACTTTAGGTTTCTTTTTTCTTAGAGCTCTCTACAGACTTAATGATCCGGCCATCGCGACATTGCACATCTTGGTACTTGGCATCCCCTACCCTACCCTTCCCTCCCTGCTCCTTCCAGCTCTGTCCCTCTTCCCTCTTTCCCTTCAATTCCTTTTTTCTCCCCTCCCCCCCTCCATTGCTGGATCCCCTAACCATGTGAAAAGGATCGCTCTACTTCCTATTATCTTTTATTTTGCTCTCTCTTTATATTTTGGGTTTTTCATATAAGACAAGCCATGAGATATTTAAGCTTATGTATCCGATTTATTTCACGTAATGTTGTATTCTCGTGGTGCATCCATTTACCTATGAGTGCCTCAAGTTTATCCTTCTTTTTTTTTTTTTTTTTTTCGGTGCCGGGGGTCGAACTCGGGTCCTTGTGCTTGTGCAGCAGGCGGCAAAACCACTGAACTAAATCCCCGGCCAAGTTTATGTTTCTTTATAGCAGAGTAGTACTCCACTGTGTGTAAATACCACATTTTCCTCTATCCATTCATCTGTTGATGGACATATAGACCACTTCCAAGATTTAGCTCTTATGAATTGTGGTGCTATAAACAGGGTATGCATGTATCTCTCTAATGTGATGTCTTTAACTCTTTAGGGAAGATACCAGATGGGGAAGAACTGGCTCAAATGGAATTTCCAGTTTTAGTTATTTGAGGACTCTCTGCACGGACTCCCATAGTGATTGCACCAGTTTCCACTCCCAGCAGCAGTGGAGGAGGGTTCCTTTTCCCCCAGCCCTGGCAGCATTTGTTATTCGATTTCTTTTTCTTTTTAATTTTTAAATTATTTTTGCAGGACTGAGGATTGAGCTCAGGATCTTATACTTGGCAGGCACAGCACAGCGCCACTGAGCTACATCCCCAGCCTTGTTATTCAATTTTTTTTTTTTCTTTTGGTTATCAGGGGTCAAACTCAGGACCTTGCGCTTGTGAGGCAGGCAGCAGAACCACTGAGCTAAACCCCCAGCTCAATTTCTTGATGATGGCCATTCTTTCTGCAGTGAGATAGAACCTCAGTGTAGTTCTAATTGGCACTTCTGTAATGCCGGCGATGTGGAACATTCTTCATATAATTATTGGTCATCTGTACTTCTGAGAAATGTCTGTTCATGTCACTTGCTCATTTTTTGATTGGGTCTTTTATTTGAGGGCGTCTGATTGTTTTGAGTTCTTCATATATTCTAGATATGAGTCTTGCTAGCAGTTTTTCTTCCCCACTCTGCAGGCTGTCTTTTCACTCTGTTGGTGGTTTCCTTTGCTGTGCAGAAGCTTGCTAATTTGACATGATCCCATGTGTTGACTCTCGATATTATTTCGTATGCCATTGGGCTTTTGTTCAGAAAGCCCTGGCCTGCGCCTGTGTCTTCAGGACTTACCCGCTTACTCTCCTGGGGGGTTAAGTGCCTGTGTCTCAGTACTGAGTTCTCGGTGCGCCTTGCTTTGCACGTATGTGTGGTAGAAACGGGTCTAGGCCCGGTCTGCAGCACATGGGAGTGGATCCCAGCGCTGCTAGAGGCTGTCTTTCCTCCAGCTCCACCAGGCCGGATTTACCAGCTGCCCCAGAGCTCTCTCGGTGCCTGTGGCCCCAGATTGCAGTCTGTGCACAGGGTCCTAGGCCCTTGCCACTGTCTGGTCCTAGAGTGATTTCATCTGCTCTGGAAGGGAAGCTGGTCCCAGTGCGCGGTCACTCCCATCCCCGCCCTGCCCTGTCTCTCCTGACCTCGGTGTTTTTGTCACATGTCGCCCCTGACGTTCAGAGTCAACTCATGGGGCCGCAGGGCCAGGCCACTGATGGCAGGGAAGCTCTGAGCTTGACCGGGCTGCTGGGCCATCCAGCCACCGTGCCAAGGGAGGGTGGCCAGCCCAGGCTGAGCCCTGAGAGGAGTGGCGTGTGGTGGCACGGCACCCGGCCCCTCCCTGGCACCACTTGGCCAGTGTCCCTGCTCAGCCCCACACGGCCATGGCCACCCCTCTGCCCAGACACCGAGCCTGGCTCCGTTACTTCCTGCATCCTTAGATTGACCTTAACCATGCCAGGCCACGCACTCTGGGGGCAGAGCAGAGGGCCGAGCTGGAGATGCGCCCATCTTCAAGGGACAGCAGCCCACACTTCACAAGAGAGCCACGCCATCTGGACAGGCCTGGCCTCTATCTTGGTTTTATCTTGCAGTGGAATGTCCAGGGATATTCCTCCACCACTCCGCTACCCCCAAGCAGAACTTCATTTATGTCTTTAGAGCTCCCAGCCCCGAGCCACTGCCATAGAGGCTGGCCGATTGGGGCTGGTTACAGAGGGCTCGCTGCAGGGCCCGGGGAACGGCTTGTGACGGGCCTGCGCCCCCTGCTGGCCACGGGGCAGACTCACAGGATGGGCTGCCGGCTTGGCCCAGGGCCAGGCTGGGGGTCCCTGGGCACCCCCCCCCCCCGCCCCGTACCTGCTCGGAGACCCAGCGGTCTGGGAGGGGAGGCTGAGGCGGGAGAAGTGCAAGTTCCAGGGCAGTTCAGGGGCTTGCGGCTGGCGCTCTCGTGGGGCACTCAGGACCTCAGTCTCTGGGACTCGCCAGCAGCCCCCAGCAGGGGCCAAGGCCTGCCTGCCGCGAGGCACCGTCCCTGCTGAGCAGTGGCCGTGCCCCGGCCCTGTCCTAGCACTCGGGTCAGTGCTTAACTGGGCGCAGGCGACCTGTTCCTGGACTGCTCCACCAGCGGGCACCCTGTCCTCCCACGCCTGGGGACCGTGAGCCAGCAGCTGAGCAGCCACTGTCAGAGACCGCCGCCGCTGCCTGTGTCCCCCCTGGGCACCAGCAGCCTTGGGCCTCCTGAGTGCCTGTCCTCCGTTCCCTGTCCCCACCATTGTCCCTGTGACAGCAGTGTGGCGGGTGGCCTGGCGGTGGCGGGCTCTCTGCCTGCTGGAACAGGAGCTGTGAGTGCCCTGGGGCTCAGTCTGGGAGCCAGGGAGGAGCGGGGCCCCTTGGGGTGACCATGCCCCGTGTGTGTCTGCCACTTCCAAGACACTAAAACCCAGCCTCTGCCATTTGGGAGGGCGCCGGGCACGGGACTGGGAAGGGTCGGGGGGGCAGCACAGGCAAGGGGTCCCCCAGGCAGTCACCGTACAGCACGCGTCTGCCCGTGCTCTTGGCGCCTTGTGACTCCCCCCCCCCCCCAGGTCTCCAGCTCTGCTTCTCAGGCTGGGGCTCTTTCTGCAGCAGGCGACAGGGATGTGCTCAGGGCCAGAGGGTGCTGGGGAGACCAGGGTGCAAGCTGAGGCTCCCTCTTGAGGCAGGTTCCGGCTGTGTGCGGACCTGGCCCACTCAACCCGCCAAGTAGCTATGCCATCTTGGTGTAGGCCTGGCCCCAGGAGGTGCCTGTGTCTTCCTGTGGCCCAGCACAGCCCTTCGAGCTGCATCCCAGCCAGGGAGGGTGAAGCTTGGTGTGGGGAGGTCCCCATGACCGTCTCCGGGTGGCCCTTCCTCAGCAGTAGGCAGGTGGCACCCAGCCAGAAGTGTGACACGCCCTGCCCAGCTGTGTCCTGGCAGCCCAGGCCACCTGTGTGCTGTCTGCAGATGCCGCCATGTCTGTTCCGCCTGCAGGCACTGTCCGAGGTCACAGTATGAACTGTGGCACGCACACTGTGTCGTGTGCCACTTGGGAGCCCACCTGTGAGCTGTTCCAGGCCAGTTCCTGCCTTGCTTGTGGCTGCAGGGCTGTAAACAGCCAATCGTGTGGCCCGTGTCCCTAGGACCTTGTGCCCAAGGCCAACCTCCCTATTTGCTGGGTGGGAAACGGAGTCACCGCCCTGTCAGGCTGCCTCCCAGAGTCACACAGTTGAGGTGGGGACCTTGCCTCTGGGTGGGCGCGGTGCCATCGCTGCTCAGAGCCAGACAGGGCCCCTGCCCCAGCCCAAGGGCGCCACCTGCCCTGGCAGTGTCATTGCAGGCAGCAGAGCAGGGGTGTCATGGGGGACAGTGGCATGGCACTCCCCTGAGTGGTGTGCCGGGGAGGTGGCGCGGAGACAGCTCAGGTGCACGGCTGCGTGGGCCAGGCAGAGCCTCAGTGACGCCTCTCCTGTCCTCCGCTCGCAGCACATCTGCATCCCCCAGCCCGACTGCCCTGAGGAGGTCCGGACCTTCTCCTTCTACCTCTCCAACATTGGCCGGGACAGCCCGCAGGGCAGCTTCGACTGCATCCAGCAATATGTGTCCAGGTGAGGCCCTGGCCCCGCTCCACCTGACTCCCTGTGCTCTGAGTGGCGGTGTCTGAGCCCTGTCCTGTCCCTTGTCTTGCAGCCGTGGGGACGTCCACCTGGACTGCCTGGGCAGCATCCAGGACAAGGTCACAGTGTGTGCCACTGACGACTCCTACCAGAAGGCCCGAGAGAGCATGGCTCAGGCAGAGGAGGAGACACGGAGCCGAGGCACCATCGTCATCAAGGCCGGAGGCCGCTACCTGGGTGAGACCTGGCGGCCCTCGGTGGGCAGGAGTCTGCTGTGTGGGCACCAGAGGGCTGGCCCCAACGGTGTGCCAGGACCACTGCCAGCGTCACGAGGCAGCCGCACTTGGGCTGTGGCACTTGTGACTGAGGACACCTGGAGCTGGGAACTGCAGGGTCCTCTCCGGGCGGTGGCTTTGGGGCCCTTCCCCTGCCAGCAGACATGGGTTCCCGGGAGACGCGGGGTACAGTGCCAGTGAGCTGGTGTCCAGTGGCTGCTGCCAGTGTGACTGCTGCACAGCCTGGACACCACCACGGTGTGCAGAGACATGGAGACAGTGAGGAGCGGGAAGAAGAGCATGGTTCTGTTAGTGGCCTTCGGCCAGCCATGGGCTTCCACTGTCAGGTTTGGCAGAGGCGAGGAAGAAGTCATCAAAACAGGCCACGGGAGAGAAGGGCGCCAGGTTCTGAGAGCAAGGGGCGAGGCGGGGCAGCATAGAGCTGTGAGGATCTCAGGCCTGGGTTCTCCTAAGCAGTGGGCCCGACCCCCAGCCCTCAGTGGCCACCTTGCTCAGGACTTGATCCCCTCTACAGCCGGTGCCTGAGTCACCCATTGCATTAGGGCTCTGGGTGGCGGCGAGGGGCAGCTGACGAGGTGCCAGCCTAGGATGCTCAGAATGGAAACGTGGGGGTCTGCTCACATGAGTATGTGGTTCTTTGGCCCAAAACTCAGTTAAAAGATTTGTCTCATCATACTAATTGTGTCCCAGATGGTTTCTGAAACGGTTGGTATCCTGGTGCAAACACTCCTCCCTAAGATATAAATACAGCCGGGCAGCATGACACATGCTTGTGATTCCTGCACATAAGAAGGCCAAGGCAGGAGGATCTCAAGTTCAAGGCCAGCTTGGACATCTTGGTGAGACCACCTCAAAATAAAAAGGCTGGGGACATAGCTCAGTGTGCAGGTCCTGAGTCCAGACCACCGAACCACAAAAATAAAAAACTGGGCCCGGGGATTTAGCTCAGTGGTGCCGCCGCCTGCCTTGAAAACACAAGGTCTTGAGTTCTATTCCTTTACAAAAAAAAAGAATCACCATTTCTAGGGCTGGGGATTTAGCTCAGTGGTTCCACAGCCTGACTCGCAAGCGCGAGGTCCTGAGTTCGATCCTGGGTACCAAAAAAATTTAAAAAAAAAACTGTACAAAGGGCTGGGGTGCCACTCCGTGGTAGAATGCTCGGCTAGCACTTGCGAAGCCCTGGGCTCCATCCCTGCACCACGTTCGCACAGCAGGAAAGGTCTCGATGTGCACAGCTCCTCTGCCTGTGTCTTCCCTTCAGGCTGTGAGGACCAGGCCCAGCCCTCCTGCCAGGGTGTCACAGAGCAGAGCCCAAGGGGTGTGTGGGCCCCGGGCCTAGGAACACATCTTTCCATGCTGTGACATAGGGCATGAGGGCCAAGGGCAGTGGCCAGCCCTCGGGAGAGCCTCCGCCCCTAGCTGGGCCCCCGGGATCTCAGCCATCTCGGCAGCTCTGCCTGTGCCACCCAGTGCGGGCTCCTGCAACCCAGTGCCAATGCCGTGCCCCACTGCCCCTAACACCCAGGCTCTCGTTGCAGGCAAGAAGGTCCAGTTCCGCAAGCCAGCCCCGGGGGCGGTGGATGCCGTGCCCTCCCGCAAGCGGGCGACCCCCATCAACCTGGCAAACGCCATCAGGAAGAGCAGCTCGAGTGGGGTAGGGCCAGGCACGGTGTCCCAGCGGCCCTTCCGGGACCGAGTGCTGCACCTCCTGGCGCTGAGGCCCTACCGCAAGGCTGAGCTGTTGCTGCGGCTGCAAAAGGATGGGCTGGCGCAGGTGGACAAGGATGCGCTGGACGGGCTGCTGCAGCAGGTACGGTGGCAGGCACGGGGCTAGGCTGTGAGGCAGCCACTGGGGCGAATGTCGAGGGGCTACAGGCTGGAAGTCTCTGATCACTGCCACCTGTCGGGCAGAGCCCAGGACGGGAGTAGGGTGCCAGCAGGTGGACCCTGCCATGGAGAAACATCCAAGTTCCTCCCCTGCCCCTCACCCACACGAGGTCCTGAGGTTCCCTGGCCCCTGGGACCCTGGGGCAGGGAGCAACTCCTATGTGTCTGTGAATCACCCAGGCTGTGGGCACTCGCCCTGGAGAACTGGACGGCACTGTGGAGGGGAGCGCCCGAGCCTGTGCTCGGTGGTGGCTGATGGGATCACAGCCATCCGCTCCTATCCCGCCCGCCTTGCACCCGGGACACGCTGTGCCGTGCAGGGTTGGGGTGTCAGTGCTGCAGGGAGGACGCGCTTCCTGCGTGCTGGGTGCTCGCCAGGCTTCTCGTGTTGCTGGCCCAGGTGCCCCCAAAGCCTGGTGCTCAGGGGCATTGATGAAGCTGCGTCCTAGCCCCGGCTCCCCTCTGAGGACCTGTGGACAGAGGGCCATCACCCGCCCAAGCACTCCATACGCAGCGGGGTGGTGATGGGGGCCTCTGTGGAGAAGACTGAGCTGCCCCTCGTATGGCAGCACCGGCCCAGGGCCTGTTACCCAGGCCACCGCAGCCGCAGGCGATGCCATCTGGGCTGAGTCTGGATGAGGACGAGGACGTGCCAGCAAGGACCCGGCCCTGACTTTCCACCCTGCTTGCTCAGGAGCAGCCCAGGCAATAGCAAGCGCGTGTTTGGCTTCATGGCCCAGGCAGAGGGGCCAATGAGGCATCCAGGAAGTTGCAATCCAGGCGAGACCTGCACGGGACGCAGAGGTCCTTAGTGCTCAGTGAGGGCCTCAGGAATGCAGAGCGAAGTGTGGCAGGGCCATCTCCAGCCACACAGGGAGACTGAGACAGGCTGCCCACCAGCACAGGCTGGGACCCGTCTTCTCTGGGTGACTGGCTCAGTGTCAGTGGGCACAGTGTCCACACCATTCACCCCAGCTCAGCCAGTCTGGCCCGTCCCGGAAGTGCCACTCCCCGAGCTGAAGGACCGCAAGCTTTCAGAGGGGGAGGTCTGGGGGTGCGCCTCACCTGGCCGTCATTTCCAGCCTCCGCCGGCCACCAGACTGGGGACCAGCAGTGACAGCTGTGTCCCTCCGAGGCCCCTCGCTCTCGGCGGAAACGTCCCACGTGAAGACCAAAGGCAGTATGTGCCGCAGGGAGGGCCCAGGGAGCCCAAGAAGGGTGTCCTTCAGGGTGGGGACACCTGGGGCTGTGACCCGCCAGGCCCACCTCTGGGAGTGGCCGAGGACAGTCACACGTGGCGCCGAGAACCTGTGAAGGGCGCCACGCAGCAGGAGAAACGTCTGTTGGCCCCAAGCAGTCACACATGGAGAGTGGCCACAGGCCCTCAGGCTGCAGCAGGGGCACGGGAAGAGCAGCCGCCACAGGGCATCCCTCAGCCAGGGCCCGAGAGCCTGTTGGTGCCCCCTCGGGACAGCAGCCAAGCGTCCTGGGAGCCGGCGGGAGCTCGGGGATGGCGCCCCTGCCGGGCACCTCTGCCCTGGGAGCTGCGCCCTAGAAGGGATGGGGCTCGCGTGCATCTCAAGCGGAGATGGGACGCTGCCCTGCTGGAAGCTCACCATGGCTCTTCTCGTCCCTCCATGCCCCGAAGGGCACGTGTGGGGCCACGGGCAGCAGCAGGAAGTCTCCGTCCCTTGCATCCTGGGCGTCGAGATCGCCACTGCGCCTGCTGCCCGTCTGTGGGGCTTCCCTCGGGGGATGCTGCTGTCATCTTTTTTTTTTGGTACCAGGATGGAACTCAGGTCCTCTCACTTCCGTGGCAGACACCGGAAGCACCGAGCTGAATCCCCGGCCCTAACGCTGCTGTCTTGCAGGTGGCCAACGTGAGCGCCAAGGACGGCACGTGCACACTGAGGGACTGCGTGTACAAGGATGTGCAGAAGGACTGGCCCGGCTACTCCGAGGGGGATCAGCAGCTGCTGAAGCGTGTGCTCACGCGGTAAGGCCGCCTGTCCCCACCGCCCGGCCACCCTCTCCCGTCGGTGTCCCTGTGGCCACCAGCCCTGACCCCAAAGCCTCAGGCAGAGCCCCAACAGTCGGCCTTTCTTGCCGCCCCTCAGGGACTGAGCAGCGCTGCTCCCCGAGTCCCCTTTGGCTATGAGACCAGGTCCGCGGGGGCGCGGTGTGGGCTTCCTGTGGAGAGGAGCCTCGGGCTCCCGGGCCGTGAGCTCTTCTGCTTTTTGCTGGGTCTGAGGCCCAGCAGTGCAGGTGTGGTATTAAAGTAGGGCACGGTGACCTCGGGGAAGGAGTGTGCGACGGCGCTCCATCCTCGCACTCACTGGGTCCTGGGAGCTGCGGAGGCAGGCAGGGGACACGGCTGTGACAAGACCTGGGTGTCTGTGTGGGAGTGCGGCCACCTTTCTGGGGGTCTCCGCCCCCAGCCCCCAACCCGGGCACCAGCCCTGCTCACCTGAGCCAGCACCGCACAGCCTGGTCCTCAGGGCCTGATGCCCGTGCTGCAACTCCCGGCCAGGCAGGAGCCTCCCCGCCTGCCCACCGCCCCACTCAAGGCCGCTTCCACATCATCCTGTGAGCTGCAGCCTCTGGAGGCCACAGCCGCTCGGCTCCTGGCGTGGGCCAGCATCTCCAGTGGCCACCTCACACCAGGGGTCACCTGCAGGGCCATGCGCACAGCTCTGTCCTCAGCCAGAGGGGCCCTGCGGGGAGCTGTGGGCAGGGCTGGGTGTCTTGTCACGGGGGCGGCCTGGGCAGGTCCTGAGAGCGAGTACTGCCTGGCACCCACCTCTAGCCTCCTCCCTTCAGGGGTCCCCCCAGGGCCTGAGCCCCACGCATAGCACCTAAGCTTCTCTCTCTCTGTGAGCCCCAGCCCCTGTGGCTGTGGCCCACTCCTCCCTGGAGCTCAGGGAGCACAGCTCCTGGGACTGGTTTTGCTTTCCCAGTACTGAGGACTGAACTCAGGACCCTCACACTGAGCTCCATCCCCAGCCCTTTATTACTTTTTTTTTTCTTTTTTTCTTTTTCTGAGGCAGGGTCTTCCTTCGTAGTTCAGGCTGGCCCTGAACTCCCTATGTAGCCCAGGCTGGCCTCGACCTCGAGGCGATCCTCCTGCCTCAGCCTCCCCAAGTATGCAGATCAGTGTGCAGCTGCTCTGCTGGTCCACCCACGCAGTCACAGAAGGGCCCCCTGGGACGGCACCACAGCCCGAGGGCCCCTGACACTGCCTCTGTCCCAGGCTTGAGAGAAGGCCCCCCAGGCTCTGCTTGTCTGTCTTCTCCTTGCACTGTTCTCTTCCGGAGAACACGTCGGGGGACTGGTTCACCTCCGCATCCCATCTCTGTCTCCATCACTTCGGGTTCCGAGTCTCCTGCTGCTCTTTCCTGGTGTTGTGTTCCTGTTTTCTGGCAGTGACATCATTTCTGATCGGCTTTCCCTGAGGAGATTTTAAAAAGTAACAGCTTTCCCGAGATGCAGTTTGTGTGGGCCGAGTAGCTGCTCACAGGAGCCGTGTGGTTCCGAAGGTGGGGTCTTGCGCCTGGCCGGGTTCGGCCGTGGCTGCTGGCACCCGTGCGTTACTCCAGGCTTGCCTCGGTGGCTGGTCCAGGCTGAGTATAATGTCCTGTGGTAGGAATGGGCTCTTCAGCTGAGCCGTTCGCGACATGGTGGGCTGCCTGCCAGGGGTCTTTGTCTCCCTGCTGATGCATCTGGAGGTGCAGGTGTCATGCTGGACACAGGACTGGGCCTCCCGGCATCAGGACGGCTCAGTCCCCTCGGGTGGCCAAGGGAGCAAAGAGGTTGATTGCGGCTCCTGGTGAGCCCCGGATCCCGTGTGGCTACCTTTTTGCTGCAGGGTCCCGAGTGTCAGTGCACAGGGCTGCAGCCCCCCCGCCCTTCCCTGCACAGCACTGGGGGGCTCCTTGTCACCTCATCTCGCCCTTACCCTCCCTGGGGCCCTGTCTCTCCCGCCACCTCCCAGCACTCCCTGGGCCTGTCCAGCCCACAGCAGACGCTGGTGGGGAGTCCCTAGGTCACCCTGCCCTGCCCGGCTCGGCTCTGCTTCTCAGGGCAGCGACCCTGTCCCCAGGGCGACAATGGGGTGGGAGACCATGGGTGCCGAGGGGGCCCCTGACCACCCATTTCCCTCCGCAGGAAGCTGTGCCAGCCGCAGAACACAGAGCCCGCTGCCTGCAGCCCTCCCTCGGAGCACGGGCGCCCAGCCTCGCCCGCCCAGGTATGGCCTTCCCACTGCCCCCGCCCTGTGCTGGGGTCACTGCCCCTTAGTCTCCTGGCCCTCTTGGCCCTGTCCCTGTCCCTGTCTGGAGAACGTGCCCAGTAGAGTGATACTTGGAAGCAGACCCCACGGGGCCCCTTCAGGCTGACATTGTGGGGCTAAGCAGGCAGTGCCAGCCCTACAGGCCTGGCGTGGTGTCCGGACGCCCCCGTGTGGCCAGCACAGGCCCCGCAGGAATCCAGGCAGCGGGCCTCTCTGGGGCCAAAGCCCAGCGCCCAACTCCCCTCCGTGATCACCCCTTTCCTTTGCAGAAGCGGCTGCAGCCCCTTGACTTCATCGACCCCCTGATCCACAAGAAGCCCAGGATCTCGCACTTCACCCAGAGAGCCCAGCCTGCCCTCAACGGGAGGCCGAGTGCACCCAACGGCCGGGAGGCTCTCCTGCCCACGTCCGGGCCGCCGCCTGACGCCCACCTGCCCCTGCGGCTGGAGCCCCCACGCGCCCACGACTCCCTGGCCGATGTCAGCCAGGGCCACAGCAGTCAGGACTGCACACGAGGGGAGACGGCCATCCCGGCCCCCACTGCACCCCTCAGCCTCCCCCCTCTGACAGACTGTGCCCAGCCTGATGGGCCCCAAGGCAGCCCCGTGCGCAGCAAGCCCAGGAAGAAGTCCAAGAAGCACAGGGACAAGGAGAGGGCGGCAGAGGACAGGCCCCGTGCCCTGCTGCCCCACCCTGACCCCACTGCCCATGGAGAGCCGCCCAACGCCCTGGGTAGGTGCGAGGCAGAGCGCTGCTGGCCGCCCTTGCGCTCAGGGATGTCGGGTCCTCTGCTCCCTGCGTGGCCCATGGGAAGCCGGCACTCATGGAGGGGATGCAGGGGAGAGAAGCGTGCCACGGGCCTGGCTGCCGGGAGCTGGGGCGGGACGCACAGGATGGGCGCAGGGACAGGGCTTGAGGCCCACTGAGCAGTGCTGTCAGTGTGTGGAGGAGGGGTTTGGGGAATGCCTGCCACCCTGGCTCTCAGGGGACTGAGGCAGGGGCTGGGGAACTCGAGACCAACCTGGGCAGCCTAGCAAGGTCAAGGTCAACCAAGCCTGGACTACAGAGGAAGACCAGTGTCACAGGGCTGAGGATATGGCTGAGCGCGAGGCCCTGGGTTCCAGCCCCAGGACCACAAGAGAAAGGATGCGGTCACCGCGCAGGTGGGGAGGCCTGGCAGGCGGCGGGAGGCCTGTGCTGCCAGCAGCGGAGCCAGGTGTGGGGCCGGCTGGGGCAACGTGGACCAGCGTGGTGCTGACCCAGTGCAGAGACCCTAGCCTTGGGATCAGAGCCGTGGCAGCAGCCTGACCACTGCACGGCCCACAGCTGTGAGTGCTTGAAGTCGCATGAAAGGGCGAACATTTGCAGGACGTCAGCTGCGTCTGGGTGTCAGCCGCTGCAGGGGAGGGGACTGCTGCGTCATCGCAGGCAGCCCTGGATGGTGGCAGCGTCCAAGTTGGCAACCTTGCTGTCTAGCACCAGCTGCCCAGGGCAGGCAGGGCCCCGAGCCGGGTGCATCCGGGACTGTGGCTCTGGGATGTGTTGACGTGTTGTCCTGCTGCCCCTGAGAGCCTCAGCACCCAGGCCTCCTCCAGGAGGGCCCTCGCAGAGGGTTCCTGTCTTGCCTGCTCAGGTCCCCAGGCCATGTGGTGTTCCCCGCACCTGGGACAGCCCCGGCCAAAGAACAGGTGCCGCAAGCCCCAGAGGGCCCCAGCTCTGTCCCCATACCACACATGCAGGAGAGGCAGGAGGAAGGGACAGCAGGGACATCAGCGGTGCCCCGGGCACAGTGACTGTCACACAGGGTCCCAGCACCTGACCCAGATGGGAGACAGGGTCCCTGAGGGGTCGGCTGGGGCTGGGAGCAAGTGGCGGAGGCCCTTGGAGCAGCCCTGGCAAGAAGCATCACAGCCTCACAGCCCACGCCCAGGCTTGGTGGAGCAGAGGTTGGCTGGGGCCTCTGTCCCCAGCTGAGCTGACTCTCAGCCTTAGTTTCCCCCTTTGTCCCGCTGGTGAAGGTCTCGAGGGCAGAGTGAGGTGCTGCCAACTGGCTGGCTGGTGGACTGTCCCTGGCATTGGGAGTGTGGGCTCCAGGCTGGCTCGGCAGCCCAGTGGACACGCAGCTGTAAAGATGGCCCAAGAGGCAGCCCCAGGAGGCCCAGGGTGGCTGGAGGTGGGCCATCAGTGTGTGTGTGGAGCCCCAGCTCAGGCGGTTCATGCACCAGCCTCTCACAGGGAAACAGCGGAGCCACACTCAGGGTCTCGCTGTGTCCTCCAGGCGTGCATCACGGCACCTGCCTGTTCAGGGCCACAAGCCTGGTTCGCTGACCTGTACCCAGAGTCCCTTGCAGGGTTCTTGTTTCTCCTGGAAGATGTCTTCATGGCTGTTGTCTGACCCACATCCACTTAGTCCCACAGCCTTGTGGGCCCAGGCACTGGGGTGGCCCCACCTGGAGTGGAGCCTGAGCCCTGTGTGGTAAGGATCTGCTCAGGTGTCGGGTGGGGTCAGTCAGCAGCCCGCACATTCAAGGCACATGCCTGAACCGAGTAGAACTGCGCAGCAGCACACGCCTGTGATCCTGCCACTGTGGGAAGCTGAGACAGGAGGATCAAAAGTTTGAGCGAGCCAGCCTGTGCAGCTTAGACCCTGTCTCAAAAGAAAAAACTGAAAAGGGTTTGGGGCATAGCTCAGTGCAGAGGCCGTGGGTTCCATCCCCAGGAACACAAGAAGGAGAAAAAAAGACCCTTCAGGAAGGTATGGGCTGCATGCGGGGTGGGGCAGTGGGGTGCTCCCCGCCCCGGGCATGGACTGCAGGCCACAGAGCATGGCCCATCCACCCCAGGCTGCCCAGGTCCAGCAGGAGCAGAGGTTCTGGGTGGGGACCAGGCCCAGAGCATGTGGCGGGGCGGCTCTGGAGGCCACTGTCCCTTTGTGCTGGGCCGGAGCCCAGGGTGCCACAGGGCTCGGGCCAGGCCAGGCCGAGCTGATGTTCAGGAGAGGCCAGCGGAGGAGCAGGGCTCCCGATGTGTGGCCTGGCCTCGCCTGTTGTCGGAGCCGCTGCAGCCACAGCCAGCAGGCAGGAGCCTGCACGCACCCTGCCCCTGTGTCTGCCCCGGCCAGACCCAGGTCTGCCTTGGCTCTTGCAGGCCTGAACGGAGCCTGCAACGCCAGTGCCAGCGTGCCCACGTCCACATCGGAGACGCCTGACTACCTGCTGTGAGTCCAGCGGGTCAGTGGGCGGGGTTCCTCGTGCCCCGTCAGTGGTCCCTGCCCCCACCCCCGAAGCTGACAGCCCTGTGTCCTCACAGCAAGTACGTGGCCATCTCCTCCTCGGAGCAGCGCCAGCGCTACAAGAACGACTTCAACGCCGAGTACAGCGAGTACCGCGACCTCCACGCGCGCATCGAGCAGATCACGCGGCGGTTCACACAGCTTGATGCGCAGCTGCGGCAGCTGACGCAGGGGTCCGAGGAATACGAGGTGCGCCGGGGGCGCGGTCCCCCAGAGGAAGTCCTCCTGGCAGGCCGGTCCTCCCTGGGCAGGCAGGTGCCATCCAGTGTGACAGGGTCTTGCTCAGAACATGATACCAGCCGGGAGTGCAGGCCTGCACCCCTGCACCCCTGCGGTCCCAGTACTCAGAAGGCTGAGGCAGGAGGACTGTTGAACCCATGAGTTCAAGGCCAGCCTGGCCCACACAGCCAGACTGAGGCTGAAACAGAAAGGTAGTGGTGGGGTGTGGCGTGGGGAGTGCTTGCCTAGCACAGGAAGGGCCTGGATTCCCTCCCCACCACCGCGAGAAAGGAGGAAAAGAAGGAAAGAGGTTAGGCAGTGACACTTGTGGAAGCAGGACCGGGAAGCCGTTGGGGTCCCCTGCACAGGTGGAGGCCCCCGAAGAGGTGTGTCCATGGGGTAGGGGACAGGCTCAGGCCAGAGTTCCATGGGGACAGGCGGGAAGAGCTGCTGGGGCACAGGATCAGAGGATGGAAAATCAGAGAGAGCACGTACCAGGGGCTGTGGCTGGGAGACCCGGCGGGATTCCTGAGGGGCCAGGCCAGGCCCAGACAGCCGGGCAGGCGGAGGCCAAGGTCCAGGGGTGTCTGCCTGAGTCAGCAGCCCCTCGGGCAGGGGGTCGCCTTGGACCCAAGAAGGCCCAGAGCCGGGTTAGTGTCCATCCCCGCCCTCGGTTCCTCTTGTCCCCTCCGCCTGCCTCCTCCAGAGCTGAGAGCAGGGTGCCTCCCTGCAGCGCCAAGCCCTGGGTCAGCAGGGTCAGCGTATGCATGTCCCGCCCAGGCCCCTTTGGGTCTCCAGTGGATTGGGGGGTCTCAGAGGAACCCCTTGTCCTCCCTGAAGCACCCGTGTGGCCCCGTGGCACCGTCGCCCTGTTCTGGGAGCAGCAGACAGCCCCAGTGGGCAGACGGGGACCGCTTCCCCGCCTCCCACAGCCGTCTCTCCCCGCTGCCCAGCTCAGCACCGCCCGTCCCTCCCGGCCGGGCCCTGCCTGGCCGCGGGGGCCAGCTTCCCGGCGGAAGGGGTGCCACGTGCTCTCTCATTTCCCTCCAGACTACTCGGGGGCAGATCCTGCAGGAGTACCGGAAAATCAAAAAGGTGAGCCTGCGGAGTGCGGGGCTGGCTGGGACGGTGGTGCAGCAGGCTCGGGAGCTGGGGCTCCGCGCCCCACCCCCTCTCCCCCCCGCGGCCCCATGCCCTTCTGGGCACGCAGAGGGGACCCCTGTGCCCTCCGGACACCCTGTCCGGCCCTCACAGTGCCCCTGTCCCCCAGACCAACACCAACTACAGCCAGGAGAAGCAGCGCTGCGAGTACCTGCACAGCAAGCTGGCGCACATCAAGCGGCTCATCGCCGAGTACGACCAGTGGCAGCTACAGGCCTGGGCCTAGCAGCACCCTGGGCACCAGGCGCCGGGCAGGCTGGGCAGGCCGGGCTATTGAAAACAGTATTTAAAACATGCGGACACTCGGCTCCGAGCCACAGCTCCCGGGAGGCCCGGCCGCCCTCGCCTGGGTGCAGTGAGCTCTCGGTGGCCTGCCTGGGTCCCAGCCGTCCCTCTTGCCACCGCCAAGACTCGGGCCAGCCCGCTGCCTTTTCTAGTTTTCTATGAGCTACCACCGAAGAGACTCGTCTATTTTTGTACAAGAGAAAGCAGTTTTTCTAAACCTGTGCCTCCCTGTCCTCGGACGTCCAGGTCGGGATGTCCCGCGTCCCTATGCAGTATTAGAGATGCCGCCCGCAGGCCTCGCTGGGCCACCCTGCTGTTCAGGCCTTCAGCCGTGGTGGCCCTGCGGGCGTGATGTTTTGGGTCTTCAGTTTCCCCTGTGCAGGCCGCGGCCCCCACGCTGCTGGCCTCGCTCCGTCCCTCTGTCTACTTGCGGGTCCCGAGGTTGCCTCAGCCAGGCCATCGCTGGGTTTGCACTCAGGGAGGGGCTGGGGACCCCAGGACACCCTGGTTGCTGCTTTGTCACTGTGCCTAGTCTCCAGTGTCCCCGGCGCAGTGGGGCAGTGTGTGTGTGTGTGTGTGTGTGTGTGCGCGCGACTGAGCGCGTGCGTGTGTGTGAGTGTGGCTGTCTGCACATGCGTCTGTTTCTCTAACCTGCAGGGCTCCGGCTGCTTCCACAGAGCTGGCGCCTGCGCGGTGGGGACACCGGCGGCTCTTTCCTTTGAGGAAGCCCGGCCTCCTGTTTCAATGGCTGTTTTGTTTCCACTTGGGGCGGACGGGCGGCTAAGGAAGGCGCTGTGCGCACTGCACTCGAGAGCCGTTATTTACGGGGTCCCCTAAGTCCGCTATCCCCGCGCCATGCCAGTCCCTTATCCCGAGGGTCCTCGAAGGCAAGGGAGGACTCTGCCTCGGGGCCGGGATGACCCTCACTCGCTGATTAAATACGGTCTAACTTATTGATGCTGTTTTATTTTCCTTTTAATGTTGTACTGTAGAGAAACTACTTTGAGCCATGGACTTGGTGTTTACAAAGAATTTTTCACTTTTGCCAAATGTTACAATCAGAAGGCGTCCACCTCTGCAGTTTCCTAACATTTTCTTAAGAAACCCAGGGTCCTTTTTGTACACTAAGCAGGTGAATGCTGATTTTTTTATCCTACAATAAATTACACTGAATGAACCCAGCCACCTGGCAGCTGGGCTTCCTGTGTGTGTTGCAGCTGGGTCAGTGGCGGGGCTGGGCTGGGTCCAGGAGAGGACCAGGCAGGTGGGGGTCCTGGGAACCACAGCAGGGTCGTGAGCCAGAGGACAGGCCAGGTAGGGCTGAGGGGTGGATGATTTGGGTTAGCTGTGCCCCACCCTGTCCCCTACTCCCAGCTACTCAGGAAGCTGAGGTGGGAGGATCACTTGAGCCCAGGAGCTCAAGGCTGGCCTTGGACAGCAGAGCGAGCCTCAGCAGCAGGTCTGGCAGTGTTTCATTGTTCCTCCCAGGCCAGGCTGGCACTAACGGGGCTGGGGTGCCAGGCTCAGGCTCCATGGGGGCGGCACCCTCTGTCCTGGCTCCAGGAACCCAGCAGGGCCGGAGGCATAGAGCGCAGCAGGGGGCAGTGGCCCTTCCAAGGCCAGGTAGGGCGGGTGTTTATTCTGCAGAGGAAAAACAGCCTCCTGCAGGAGCGAGGGTTGGGGTTAGCAGTCTGCCTCGTCCTTGGCCTGAGTTCTGAGGCAGCGCAGGAATCCGAGGGGCAGGGGCGGGGCGGCATGTACCGGCTGCAGGGACAGTGTGGCCACCACGCCTCCCAGGGGAAGCCCCTGCCCCCTCCTGCCGGGTCTTGGCTGCCATCCCGAGCGGCCCACGGGTGACACTGGATGGTGGTCAGGAGCCTGGGCAGGGATGTAGCCAGGGTGGCTGGGGTCTCAGCGGTGCAGAGCAGGCACAGTTCCCGAGGTGGCTTTTCTTGGGTGGATAGGGAGCTGCCCACCAGGTTACTCTGCCCCTTCATCCTGGCCTTGGGACAGCAGGAAAGATGCCCCAGGGTGGGGCAGAAGCAGTACAGGCCAGCTCTGGGGGCAGGTTTGACCATGCAGGGCTCAGAGTCCCAGACCAGAGAATCTCTCAGGATCAACACGTCTACGTGCAGAGCTGAGGGTGCTCCCACCCCGGGTTAGCATAGCAGTGGGGATGGGCACGACTTGGAAACAAAGCTGAGCCTTCTCCTCAGACCTCTGCAACCTGCATCCTCAGTGAAAGCTACCTTAGGGTGGGCGTGGTGGTAGAGCCCTGTAGTCCATGGACTCTGGGAGGCTGAGGCAGGTGGATCCCAAGTTTGAGCCCACCCTGAGCAACTTAGCCAGATCCTGTCTCAAAAAAATAAAAAGGCACAGGGGTGTAGCTGAGTACGAGGGCCCTGGGTTCAATCCCTAGTACTCCAGAACTTGAAAACCTGCCCGGAGGCCCCTGGGAAGTTATGCGGGTGGCTTTATTGTAACCCAAAGCTCAGCTCGTGGGAGATGGAGCGTGGTGCCCTGCTGTGGGACGCCCCCAGGTAAGGGCCATTGGTTGGCTAGGACAAGAGGCTGGAGAGCTAAGTGAGGACGTTCTTGGTGACTGATGGGTGGTTTCGTGCAGACATTCTGCTTTCCCAGCAGGCTGGGACCCGCTGTGCTACAGAGGGTCCTAGTTTACGAGGGGGCGTGGTGGAGCAGGCCTGTGATCCCAGCACTGGAGAGGCTGAGGCAGGAGGCCTGCTGGGAGTTTGCCTGGGCTACAGGACAAGACCCAGTCTCAAAACAACAGGGCCGGGGATTTAGCTCATTGGCGCCCCGCCTGCCTCGCAAGTGCAAGGTACTGAGTTCGATCCCTGGTACTGCAAAAAAGGGGGGTCCTAGTCCCCCCCAACACTCCTGGGCCGTGTCTCCTCCCACCCCTGCTCCTCCACCCTCCCTGCCGGGCCCACCGCAGCCCCACTGCCACCTTCCTCAGGCACTGCTGGGGAGGATGGCAGCCAGCCCAAGGCCACCCTCTCCCTGCCGCCTGCCTGCACCCCCCAGCCCACCCCCAGGCGTGTGGGGTCCTGGGCCGCCGCTGCACCTGTGCCTGTGCCATCCTCTCTGACCCCTGGGCCCAAAGTCCCCATCTCTCCACCCAGCCCAGGGTGGAGCACTCCCCGGTTCAGGGCTCTGACGCCACTGCCGGCCGCACTTCTGACCAGCTGGAGGCTGAGCGATGGGGCCCTCACACCCCCACTTCAGGTGTGATCGTTTGGGGGAGCAGCTTGAAGCACCCGGGAAATCACTAAAGCCAAGCGATGGTACACACAGAGGTGGGGCCCAGGCTGCTCTGTCCCCCGAGGAGAGCCAAGCCCCAGCACCCTGCATCTGGGCACACCCTGCTGGGAGGTCTGGGGTGGATAGGGTACTTTGCCTCACCCCTCAGGAGGGCGCACCCCACACTCCTGTGACAAAGACCAAAGAGGGATGGGGCAGTGGCTCAGTGGTGAGCACCTGCCTAGCATGTGCCAGTCCTGCATTCCACCCTAACTCCACCCCCCAAGCTCCCCAAGTTCCTGTATCTGAGTCCCAGGAGGCAACCTTCGGACCAAGCCCCAGAGACCCAGGGAAAACTTTTCTGCTTAGGTTCCACGAAGTGTGGCCTACCTGGAATGTGATTGAACAGCAGGGAGGCTGAGGCAGAAGGGTCCCAAGTTCCAGCCCAGCCTGGGCAATTTAGTGACTTAGCAAGACCCTGTCTCACATAAATAAGGCTGGGGCATAGTTCAGTGCAAAGGCCCTGGATTCAATCCCCAGCAGTGAAAAAAGTAAAAATTTTCAAAAGACAAAATGTGTATGCTCTACTGGAAATAAACTGGGGGCAGGACCCATGAGGGTCTGTGGGCATTCCTTCCTTCCGGGGATGGCAGGGGACCACTCTGGAGCCGGGTCTTCTTATCTGCTATCCGGAAGCTGAGTGGATTTCAGGATGTCAGCGTTAGAGCACTCTGTCAGTGGGTGTCTGTCCCCTGACTGCCTTCACCTTGGGGAACTGGCCTGGTCTAGAATCCTCCACAGGGCTTCCAGGGCAAGCAGACGGAAGGCAGGGAAGTCAGAGTCCTGGCCTCACAAAACATTTTCAGTAGCACAGTCCTGGTCGCCAGCCCTGAGGGTCTGCCAGTTCCCAGACTGCCCCTCTCTCCCTCGAATCGGCCACCTAAGCCCCCTCCCAAGGCTTTTCTTTCCGATCTTCAGGTGGCTCTGTCTGCAGTTTTTCTTGGCAAACTCTTCATCTCTCAAAACCCTCCAGCAGCCATCTCTTCCCGGACTCCTGCCTGCTGTCAAAGACCTGCCCCAGGTTCCCTCCAGCTGGAGGGGCCACATTCCCCTTCAGACGGAGGCCTGGAGCTGGGGTTTCAGAGGCCCCAGCCCCGGAGGCCAGGCCTAGCTGCCTTCGCAGCCAGCATTCCCAGCCCTCCACCTTTTGGGCCAGCTCCCGTGCTAGGAACTTTCCATCCAGCCGCGGAGCCGGCCACTGTTTTGGAAAGTTCTTGGGGCGCCGCCCCCGCTGCCCGCTGGGTTCCCACGCTCCCTTATGGCCGAGCAAGAGGGGGGCGAGCGGCTTCGGGCCTCGCTCCCACGCCCCCCCCACAACCCCGGGCACTGCCCACGCCCTCCTGCTGTAGCAGGTAAACCAAAGCACATAGCCCCAAGCATCTGGGCCCTGCTGGGACAGATTGGTCCATCCTTAGCTGGACTGGAGGCTCGTGGGGTTCCAAGACATGGGCGTCCTGAGTGGGTACCCCTGCTTATAAAGGAGCCCTTGTCTGGCTTTGGGATCTCAGTTTTGGTTGGCCTGTTTCCCCTGCAGTATCAGACCCCAGGACGCCTCCCCGTCCCCCAGTACCACCCCCTGGCTAGGTCTTGGCACTCATTCGCAGGCTTTTTGTCCTCTTTTGTAAGATGGGGACGGGGCCGGCGCTGCGGCCACTGGGGCACCGTGCCTGTGCCCGCGCCCCTTCCGGCCCAAAGGGGACACGAGCGCCACAGCGACCCTGGACGGTCGGGCCTCGAACCTGCGCCCCGCCCCACACGCGCGCGGGAGGGGGCGTGGCGGGGGCGTGGCCTCGGCTCTTTTCTTCTCCGCGCCGCGAAGCCTGCGCCGTCCTCCGCCTCAGTCCGAGCGAGTCAGCCCCGGTGAGTGGGTGCACCCCGGGGGCGGGCCGGGGCCAGGGCCAGGGCCAGGCCAGCTTGGCTCGGCACCCAGTCCCCGCTAACGCCGCCGCCGGCCCCCAGCTTGCCGCGATGAAGGCAGCCTCCGCGTTCGTGGTCGAGAGCCCAGACGTGGTCTACTCGCCCGAGACCATCGAGGCGCATTACGACTACCGGACCACGCGGGTCATTCGCGAGGGCGGCGTCCTCAAGGTGGCGCGGAGGAGGCGCGGGCTGGGAGGGCACCGGGCGGGCAGGGTTCCCCCAACGTCTCCGGCGTCCAGCCGAGCTCACGGCCCCTCCCCCCAGGTGCAGCCCACGTCCACGCGCTTCACCTTCCGGACCGCCCGGCAGGTGCCCCGGCTCGGGGTCATGCTCGTCGGGTGGGGCGGGAACAACGGCTCCACGCTCACGGCCGCCGTGCTGGCCAACCGCCTACGCCTGTCGTGGCCTACGCGCGCCGGCCGCAAGGTGGGGTTCTGGGCGCACTGCGTGGGGACCCAGCCCCCGGAGCAGCGCGGCCGACGGGGTCGGGTGTGGGGGGGTTGGGGGGGGAGGCGGGACTTCCGCGAGGCTCCGTGGGGCCCGCCAGGGGCGTGGCTTAAGGCGTGGGGCAGCTCATGGACCGAGCTTCCGTCCTGCTGGAGCCCGGAACTGAGCTCCGGGCGGCGGGGCGGGGCCGAGTGTTCGTCGGGCCCCGCCCCTCTCCACGCCCAGCCTCACCGCGGCGCTCTGCTGCCCCCAGGAGGCCAACTACTACGGCTCGCTCACTCAGTCGGGCACAGTGAGCCTGGGCCTGGACGCTGAGGGCCAGGAGGTGTTCGTACCCTTCAACGCGCTGCTGCCCATGGTGGCACCGGACGACCTCGTGTTCGATGGTGGGCCGAGGGTCGGGCTGCGCGGTGGGGTCTGGAGGGGTCGGGCTCCAGGCCTGGCCAAGCGTGAGGGTCACACCCACACCCCTAGGCTGGGACATCTCCTCGCTCAACCTGGCTGAAGCTATGCGGCGGGCGCAGGTCCTGGACTGCGGCCTGCAGGAGCAGCTGTGGCCGCACATGGAGGCCCTGCGCCCGCGGCCCTCGGTCTACATCCCCGAGTTCATCGCCGCAAACCAGAGCGCGCGCGCCAACAACCTCATCCCGGGCACGCGCGCGCAGCAGGTGCCCTCCCACATCCCTGGTCCCAGCCATCCCGGCCCCCCTCCGCCTTCGGCCACCCGTGCCCGTCTTTTCGCCCCGTGTGCATCTCTTTGTGCTTGGGGGGCGGGTGGCCCTGACTTCTGTGGCCTGGGGGGCTTGCACCCCCCACCCGCTACCCTCCTTTCAGTTGGAGCAGATCCGCAAGGACATCCGAGACTTCCGGCACCGCGAGGAGCTGGACAAGGTCATCGTGCTGTGGACGGCAAACACAGAGCGCTTCTGCGATGTGGTCCAGGGTCTCAATGACACGGCGGAGAACCTGCTGTGCACCATCCAGGTGGGCGTCGGGCCAGGCAGGGCGGGACGCGGCCCCCACCCTCCCCCTTGCTGACCCCCCCCCCCCCCGCAGCTCGGACGGGAGGTGTCGCCGTCCACGCTCTTCGCTGTGGCCAGCATCCTGGAGGGCTGCGCCTTCCTCAACGGGTCCCCGCAGAACACGCTGGTGCCCGGCGCGCTCGAGCTGGCCGAGCAGCACCGAGTATTCGTGGGCGGTGACGACTTCAAGTCCGGCCAGACCAAAGTGAAGTCGGTGCTCGTGGACTTCCTCATCAGCTCTGGCCTCAAGGTGCGTGGTGAGTCGGGGCGGGTTCCGGCTGAGGCCTGCATCCAGAGGGCCTGGCTAGTGCTACGCCCGACTCTGTGACCGCAGACTATGTCCATCGTGAGCTACAACCACCTGGGCAACAACGACGGGCAGAACCTGTCGGCGCCGCAGCAGTTCCGCTCCAAGGAGGTGTCCAAGAGCAGCGTGGTGGACGACATGGTGCAGAGCAACCCGGTGCTCTATGCGCTCGGCGAGGAGCCGGACCACTGCGTAGGTGCGGGGCACCCGTGCGGGCGCGGGCGCGGGCGGGGCACGGGCGGGGCACGGCTCTGTGCGACGTGGTATCGCACACTAGGTGGTCATCAAGTACGTGCCCTACGTGGGCGACAGCAAGCGCGCGCTGGACGAGTACACGTCGGAGCTGATGCTGGGCGGAACCAACACATTGGTGCTGCACAACACTTGTGAGGTGCGGCGCCGGGGCGTGGCAGGGGGTGTGGCCGGGGCGTGCTGGGCCGCTGACCCGCCCCTCTCCAGGACTCGCTGCTGGCGGCGCCCATCATGCTGGACCTTGCCCTGCTCACGGAGCTGTGTCAGCGCGTCAGCTTTTGCACGGACGCCGACCCCGAGCCGCAGCGCTTCCACTCGGTGCTGTCCCTGCTCAGCTTCATGTTCAAGGCACCACTCGTACCGCCAGGCTGCCCGGTGGTGAACGCGCTCTTCCGCCAGCGCAGCTGCATCGAGAATATCCTCAGGTGCGCATGCGCGGGGCGGTCGGGTGGGCGGTACCCGGGGCTGGGCCTCCCGCCGCTGAGCCTGCCGCGTCCTCGTGCCCAGGGCCTGCGTGGGGCTCCCGCCGCAGAACCACATGCTCCTGGAGTACAAGATGGAGCGCCCGGGTCCCGGCGGCAAGCGAGCCGCACCGGTAGGCGCTGCCGGCCCGCTGCCCTGCAAGAAAGGAGTGGCACCCGTGGCCCCCAATGGCTGTACCGGCGACACCAATGGGCACCCGCAGGGGGCGTCCCCGATGCCCATGGCCTGAGGCCCTGAGCTTGCGGCGTTTGGCCCTAGCCCCCTACCCCAAAAGACCTAACCCTCCCTGGCCCCCAAATAAAGCCAGTGACTCCCCTCCGCCAAGCCCCTGCCTGCGGGTCTTGGTATCTGTGCCCTACCCAGCATCGGCCCGACACCCGATATTCCACCTGCAGCCCCAGGGCCATCCCAACCCCAGGCCCTGGGCGGCGCGGAGTCCCAGTGGGGAGTCGGAGACCAGGTACCAAAAACCAAAACGAGTTCCGTTTATTGAGAGGCCCAGGGGTGATCAGTGATCGTGGGCCAGGCCCGCCAGGGAAAGAGCGTCTCTGAGGTCCTCGCGTTTTAAAAAAAAAGTCCTTCGTGCGGGGCTCCCGGCCGTCCCCGCCTGGTGGGCCAGGTGTCCAGGTGCCACAGGTGTGACCCGGGCCGGGAGGGACAGGGCGGCTGCCGCCCACCCGCCCATCACACGCTCATGGTCATCCCTGGGGAGTACTGCGGAGAGAGGGGGTCGGGCTCAGCTCTGGCCTCGGCTGGGACCCGCCCCCCCGGACAGGGATGGGGACCGGGACGGGACGGGAAGGGACGGGACGGGGAGGGCAGGGTGGGCGGGGTGGGGAGGAAAGAAGATGCGCGGCCGCCCCCCCACCTGGCCCGCCGCGGTCACGGTCTTGCTCTGGCCCCCCGGCCGCCCCGCCGGGGTCTGCCCGCCAGGCCCCTCCGGCCCGACGCCGCCGCCGCGGGGGGGGACTCGACGCAGTCGCTTACGCTTTCGCCCGGGAACGGGTGCAGGAAAGTCCCGGCGGCCGCCATCTCGCCGTCGTCCCGTGGGGTCCCCGGGGCGGTGCTCAGGCCGGCCACAGCGCCGGGGGAGCTCTGGGGGCGGCCGCCGTCAGCGCCCGGCTCGCCCCGCCCCCGCCCCGGGACCCCGGGGGCGCCGTCCTTACCTTCGGCAACCCGTCCATGTCGCCTGAGCCTGCTGGACAGACGGCGCCCGCGGCTCAGCATGTGCTCACTGATGCCCCGCCCTCCTGCCCGCGCCGAGTGGCCACCAGGGGGCGCCACTCACCCAGGGATCCGTTCACCGGGTGCGGCTCCATCGCGCTCACGGCGGCCATGGGGCCCTCGGCGCCTGGCCCGAGCGGGAACTAAGGGTACAGGGCGAGCAGGTGAGGCTGCGTCCCCCTGGCAGGCTGGGGTCCCGCGACACGCCCGGGCCCACACTCACGTTAGCCCTGCCGGCGCCTGGCCCGAGGGGGTTCATGAGGGTGAACATGCTCTCGCTGGACGTGGTGGAGTCTGCGGGGACAGCGGCATGAAGCAGGCGAGGGGTCCTGCGGGGTCCGGGCTCCCCATCAACCGCCCGCCTCTGGCCCTACCTCCGGGGCTGGGCATGATAGGTGTCCCGGGGGGCCCTCCGCCTCCTGGGGGTCCCTGTGGGTGGAGAGATGGGAAATGAGGGAGGGGCCGGCACCCTGTGCCCTGCCCAGCACCCACCTCACCACTCACCGTGTAGCTGACCGGGGACGAGGAGGAGTAGGGAATCTGGGGACAGGCGCAGCTGTGAGTGGGTGGCCAGGGGGCCCTGGCCCAGCACTCTGCCCTGCCACCACCCACCCCTGCCGAGACTCACCGAGTTGCCACTGGGGCTGGCCCAAGGGCCCCGCACTCCTGGACCCCTGCAAGAAAAAGGGGTACCTGGAGCAGGGGCACAGGGTGGGAATGACATGGCTCTCCGTGCCCCTGGACGGGCCCAGGGCGGATGCCGGAGGGGTGGCTGTGGCCACATCCCTGACAGTTCAGATCCCCACCCGTCATTCCTTCACACGGCCAGAGCTGCCTTAATTTAGCCGCCTGACACTGATGGGAGAATAAACCTCCCGGAGAAACCAGGTGCCCCAGCAAGTGGCCTGAGAACCCACTCAGGGCCTTACATGTTCATAGTAGGCAGGCCCGGGCCGGCGAGGGCGTTGGGCGGGGGCCGCATGCCACCTCCGTAGCCCTGTGAAGGCAAAGGCCATGAGACACGGTGTGGGGGACACGTGGGGGACAGCCTGTGTGCCCACCCTCCTGGCAGCCTTACCTGGGGCCCGACACCGGCCATGCCCCGGGGCGGCGTAACCCTCTGCATTGGGCCGCCTATGCTCTGGGGCCCTGGGGTGGGCAGAGGAAGGGGCTCAGCGGCTGCTCCCCAGGACTTGGGGTCAGAGGGCCAGGATGGGGTGCAGCACCCTACTCACCCTGCATGCGTGCGGAGGGGTCCATGGTGCTGGGGAGCAGGGGCTGGGAGCCAGGGAGGCCCACAGGAGGCTGTGGAGGGAGCAGCACTGAGTGTGGGGCACCCGACCCCGGCTCAGCCCCTGCCACCCGCCCTTCATCCCCTCACCTGACTCGGCATCCTCAGTGTGGGCCGGGGGCCCCCTGGGAACCGTGGTGACATGAAAGGCTGGAAAAAGAGGTGGGCATCAGCTCCTCCACCCACCCCAGCCCCCCAAAGTGACCCCATTCTGTTCTGCTACACCTGGGTCGGCACTCGGATGCTCCTGCTGGCCCAAACAGCTGGCAGCCAAGGTAACTGTCCTCTGTCCCTGCACGGTGGGCAGGAAGGGACAGGCAAGGCACCCCAAGGCCTAACCTGGCCCATCAGAGGGCCATTGGGGGATGGGATGGTCGGAGCTAGGGTACCCCGAGGACAGCAAGATGGGCTGGGCAGGAAGTCACTGGAAGCCGTTTCCTGTGGCTCAACAGAGCCTGGGGGAACTGCACAGAGGCAGGAGGGAGGCCTCCTCAGCCCCACCTGGCCCCTGCACACCTATGCAGGCCCCCAGCTGGCTGCAGCCCCCAAGACCCACCCTCACATGCTGGGGTCCACCCCAGCCTGGTCCTACCTGGAAAAAGCCAGGTGCCATGGGGCCTGCGGACATCGCGTCACTTGGGGTCATGGTCCCCATCACCGGGCTAGGGGTGGCAGCAGCGCTCTGCAAAGGTGGGGGACACGTGAAGGCCAGGCCAGGAGCGTTTCTGCCCAGTGTGTCCCATCTCCTCTGCAGGTGGCCGTGGGTAGTGTGCTGCCAGCTGCTCAGGCTCCTTGACCCTCCATCCACTCAGGGGGCTTGGGTCTCTACAGGCAGGGGAGCCAACTGCCCTGCCACACCCTGGTGAAGTAACCCTGGCAAGCCTTGGGCCACCCTGGGGACCCCTTGGTCCTGGAGTCCCCGCTGGAGAACTGTGACCCAGCTCCATTACCCTGTGGCACAGGCCTATGCCACAGGGTGGTCCCCTGTGTTGGCGCCCCTGCAGCCCACCCCAGCCCCGGGTGCTGGCTTGCTGGCAGCTCAGTGGGCCCCCAACACTGACTCTGGGGCGGGGCCCCCAGGCCCCCACCTTCCCCAAAGGAGGAACCAAACCAGGGTGCTAGACATGGGGTTCCCGGTAGGGACTGGAGGGCGGGCGGGCCAGCTCTGTTCGTTGGTCCCAATTCCCACATGCGGCTGACTGTGGGGCCGGGCGGGACAGAACACACTCATCACCGGAAAGCCGGGGTGCCCAAGAGGGGAATCACAGGCCTCTCTGGGCCATTCCCAACGCCAAGTCCCTTCTGGGTGCCCGCACCCACACTCAGCACCATGGCCCGCTCGGGGACAGCTGCGGCCTTGGGGTGGGGAGAGGGGCGCCCCTGAGTCCTGGGTCTGTCCACCCGCAGGGAGGGGCGCCCCCTCTTCGGCACACAGCAGACACCAAGTCATTTCCTGGTCGGAAGGCTGGAGGAAGAGGGCAGGGAAGGCTGGACTCCTGCTGGGCTCAGGACCTCGGGGTGACGAGGTGGATGGGCAACCCCAACCCTGCAGGCCCCTAACCCTAGGCCCTAAAGGGTTAATCCTGGTCTTTCTCATTTGGCTTCCCAGTTGGTTGCTCAAGCCAGACACCCCCCCCACCCCCGTCAATCATCCTAAAGCGGCGCCAAGGCCCTGCCTTGTTGTCATGACTACGGGCTGGGCGCCTCCGCGTTTCCTGGAGACGCCAAGGTCAGCCTAGGAGCCTGGGAGCCCCGAGCCAGGGAGGGGCTAACAGAGTCCCTACTCACAGGCCAAAGGAAGGGGTGCGGGAATGCGGGCAAGGCGCCCCAACAGCCCGGAGCCCAGCAGGAGGTGCACCCAACTCCGGCAACCTAGGCGTCCCCCACCCCCACCGTGGCGCCCCCGCTTCCTCTCCGGGACGCGCCCGTGCTACCACGGCAACCCCGGAACTGGCGCATGCGCACGAACGCAGGGGCGCCCGGGAGGCCGCCAGACCCGAGCCGAGCCCCAGAGGCGGAAGGGGCTGCGCACCGATAGGGGGGCGGAGCTCGGGGCCTCGGGAGGCGCAGGATGGGGCCGGGGCTCGAAGCTCCGGATGCGGGGCCCAGAGCGGTTGGAGCGAGGCCAAGCGTGAACAGCGAGGCGTCCAGAGCATCGGCGCAACCTCGCTTTACACACACGTGCAGAGCGCGCGCCAGGCACCTCCAGGGACAGGGGTGCCCCGCAGCAGTGCGCCCCTACCCGGGAGTCCGGGACTCACGTGGTCCTGGAAGGCCTTGGCCTCGCCTGTGTGCTCGCAGGCCTCCCTGCGGTCCGGCGCGGCGCAGTACAGGTCCCAGAACACGCTGCGGGGGGGGGGGGGAGGCAGAGGGTCCGGTTGCTCCGTCGCGCGCCCCGCCCCCCGCCCCCCAGCGGACCCCACGCACCACCACCAGGAGTGCAGGAAGCCCGGGGGCTCCCCGAGCGTGATGTTCTTCTCCCACCGGATCTGCGGGGAGAGGTTGCGGTGAGGCCCTGCCCGCCCACACCTTGCCCCCTCCCCCGGCCCGGTGCAAACAGGGTGGGAGGCGGGCAGGACCAGGTGTAGGGCCCAAGGCCTGGGCGCGGGCCGCTTACCTCGGACAGGAAGGTCTGGGCGGACTTCTGGGCGCCCACGTGCAGCAAGTACTCGTACACGTACAGCGCCAGCCTGCGGGATGGGCAGTAGGTCAGGGTCCCAGGAGGGGCCACCCCCACCCCGCCTGCTCCTGTTGGGCAGGTGGAGGCCACTCATCAGCCCACCCTGGTCTCGCTGCTGCGCCCCATCCCTCATAGAAGATGGCTTCCTCAGCCTGGCCAACTCCTACATATCCATCAACATCCAACCTGTGCGCCCCAACACACGTGCCTTAAGGCCATTTGGTCAGGTTCAACTCCCTAGTGGTCCAATCCTGGCCCTGTCTTACCAACACTGTGACCCCAGAGTGGTCTCGCCCTCCGGGAGGCCTCTGCCCAAAAGTGTCCTATGGCGAGGGTATACCACCTGACCCCCTAGCGGGGTTATATAAACTCCCCGGGAGATTCCGGGGGGGCACACGCGTTGGCCACAGCGCCCCTGCCCCCCACCCCTGTGCGCCCACAGCCTAACACCCCTGGAAGCCCCTACTTCCCCTCGCCAGCCAGGCGGGCCTGGTGCTGCCCTCTGTGGCCTCAAAAGGCCAGGCAATCGGGCCTCCAGTCACCTTCATGACAGGGGCAGAGGGACGCCACCCCAAGGACACCCCCCAGCCACTCTGACCTGCTCCAATACCCCAGGTCCCCACTACCCAGCCTGGGCCCGGGGGCTCAGGGCTCCAGAGGCTCAGCTGCATGCAGGCCTCAGCCCCTCCTCTGGCTCAGGGCCCAGTCCTAAAATAACCACCCGGCCCATGGCTGCGCCCCGCACCCCGTCTCTGCTCTCAGCTGCAGCCCACCCCAACCCCGGGCAAGGTGTGGGGACCCTGCCCCAGCTCGCCTGCTCTGTCCGAGGACACACTGCCAGCCACAGGCTCAGCTTCACCGCAGCTGGTGGGGCCGAGGGGACGGCAAGTGGGGGGTCCCCAACTCTCTGTCTCTGACAGAGGTGACCCCAGCTCACCACCAAGGACCCCACACAGTACTCAGTCTCCTCGCCACAGACCCCCGGCCGAAGGCTGAGCCCCCCACTTCCTCCCTGCGTGAGGACCCCCAGCTGTACCCCGCACCACTGCATCTCCCAAGTGAGAGAGAAAACAAGGCCGGACTGGTGGTGTCCACGTACAGTCCCAGCAAGTGGGGACACAGACACAGGGAGGCTGAGGCAGGAGGATCTCATGAGCCCAGGTCAGGGCCAGCTTGGGCCACATGGTGAGACCCAGCACAGAAAGTCCTAAGGAAAAACCTCTTCTGATGTAAGCCCTACCCCTGACACCTCCACACACCTGGTGCAGGCCACCCACCTTCTCACTGGGTGACAGCAGGGCACCCAGGCTGCTGCTGTCTACAACAACCTACTACCCACTCAGAGCCTCTGGGCCCCCACATACACCATGGCTGCTCCACCCCAGGGCCTTTGCACAAGCTGTCACCAAGACTTCAGTGTCACCTACAGAGGCTCCCTGTCACACCTGGTCCCCTCTGACTTGGGTCTCTCTGCAGCCCCCTCTGGGACAGGATCCGGGGATGCCCGGGGGTGTCCCAGGTCCAGGCCATGAGCTCAGACGGGCCTTGGACCTATGGCCCGATCCCCATGCACATGGTCTGGCTGTCTGCCCACTTGGGCCAGAACTACCTCTCGGAGCCCGGCCACCCCGGGCTCCTGTGCCACAGCAGGAGACAGAGTAAAGCAACAGCAGCCTGCAGCCTGAATCACGCCCAGGCAGCTGTGATTATGGGAATGGCTATAATCACGGAGAAGGATGGCAGGTACCTCAGTTACCATAATGGGTGCCCTGCCAGGGACGGGACTCTCTACTCAGCCTTGTGGCCATGTCACCCCTCCCTGGGCCCCAGGGCTGCCTTCCAGCCCACAGTCCCCCTCTGCCAAGCCTAGGAGCCTGCAGTGCCGTGTCACCAGCTGTCCCTAGCTGAGCTCTTCTCCGGCTCTGACCGGCTGGGCAGTACACCACAGCAGCCGCAGCCGTGTGCCGCCTCCACACCAAGCCAGGTGACCCCGACCCAGCTGTCATGGAGCTGGCACTGTGCTCAAGGGTGCACAACCTAGGCAGGTGGATGGTGACGCCCCTCCCCCACAGATGCCCCACTCGGACCCCAGCTGCCACCTCCTCCTCGCTGCCCTGGGCTCTTCGGTCACCGTGGGGTCCCTTCCGGGGGCAGTTGCCAGGTGCCAGGGAGCCCTGGAGGATGGACAGGTGCCGAGGGGTGGCTCGGAGGCCCAGCTCCGAGTCCCCTCCCGGTCTGCAGGCTCCAAGCAGGGAGGACACTGAGGTGGAGTCCAGGATCGGGGCATGTAACCCTCTTCACCCCACTTCCCAGAAGAGGAAACCAAGACCCGGAGACAGGAAGCGGCTCAGCCAGCAGCTGGCATTTCCTGAGTCAGGGACTGCGATGCGGGTGCTCGACCTGTGTCTCCTCCCCAGTCCCCAGAACCCCCAAAGCAGGCTGTCCACAGCTCAGATGAGGAAACCCACATCTCCGAGAGCTCTCCAGGGCCCAAGAAACCAGCCCCTGGGGTCCCTGCCAGGCAAGTGGGGGACATGGCCTTCCTGAGTCCCCCTGACCTCTCCACCCACCCAAAGCCACATGGACCAGGGACGAAAGTCTGCTGTCTATGTGCAATGCGCACTCTGCTTGCTGATGGGCCCTCACCATCAGTGTCTCTCGGGATCCCGGGGACAGCTGCACCCCGGCCCAGGAGTCCTTCCCAAGCAGCCCAACACAAGTCTGCTGAGCAGAGCAGCCCCCATTTTCGGGCGGTCACCTCCATACCCAGGAGATGACAGGGACACAGAGGGGATAGGCTGGCGAGGGTGGGGTGACCAGGCCAGACAACCCCTGCCTCCAACCTGGGTAGCCAGTGTCACTGGCACCCTTCCTTGGACCCCTGCCTGGTTACCCGGCCTCCTCTGTTCTGAAGGCCAGATCCACAGGGCAGGGCCATGCTTCTGGGATGCCGAGAATCTGCCAGCCACCAGGCCCTGCACTCTGGCAAAACCTAAGGTGTCGTTGTAGGGCTGTCACGACTCCAGGCAGCTTCAAATGGTCCCCGCATTTCCCACGGAAGGAAAGCAGATCCGGCCAGGGGCGCCCCTCCATCACAGCCACGGGGCAGGGACACAGCATGCCAGACTGCAGGCCCTGCCCAATTTCAAGGGACACTCGGCTGCGTCCCCACCCCGGGACCATGGAGAGACCGTCCCACTTCACCATCTACAGGGTCTATGGACTTACGGACCCGCCCTGCACCAGCCAGAACCGAGCCCAGAACAAGAGGGGCACAGGCCAAGCATCTGGAGGGCGGGGGGCTCAGCCCACGACCCAAGACTGCGAACCGCGCGGCCTTCCCGGGAGGGCGCTCGTGGGCACCACGCAGCTGCTCGGGTCGAGCGCACAGGTGGCGGCGCCCCCAAAGTCGCCCTCTGCACGGCCAGGGTCTCTGGGTGGCCAGTGTCCCGGCCTGGGAAACTTCAGCAAGGGGCGAAAAGCGACGACGCCCGCATCTCCCGCGCCCCCAAGTTTCTTCCCTGGGGTGGGAACGACTCGCGGCCCTCGAGTCCCGCCCGGATCTCGCGCGCCCCCAAACGCCGCGCCCTCGGGCCCCGCGCGCCCGCGCCCACTCACTTCTCGCGCGCCTGGCTGTCGGAGGGCACCGCCGAGCCCTTGCCCCCCTTGGCGTACATGCTGCTCCGCGCCGTGCCGCCGCCCACACCTGTCAGGCGCCGCCGGGGGCCGCGCTCGCCCTGGCCATCGCCTCCCCGCGCCCGGGCCTCACCGCCCCGCGCCCCGGGCGGGCGCCGCGGGCATCATGCGCGCGGGGAGCTGCTCCACGCGGCGGCGGCCCCGGCCGGCGCGCTGTTTTCTCCTCTCCCTCCCTCCGCGCGGGCTGTTCCGGGAAGCGCGCGCCCCCTCCGCCCGCCGCGCGCGCCCCCGCCTCCCTGCTGCTCCCGGGCGCCGCTCTTAAAGGGGCGATGGCGGGCGCGCGGGTGGGGCCTCGGCTGGGCGCGCACGCGCAGTGCCCACTGCGGGGGGCGGGGGCGCGGCTACACCCACGCGGTACGGGAACAGCCGTCTGAATCGGTGTACACTGGGGGACAGCCACTCGCTCGAACCCACGCTCCCACAGCACCTTTCCCAAGTGTGCACAGTGCCCACGGCTGCTGCCGGCCCCAAAAGGTCGAGGCACCCACACCGGTGTCGCCCCGGAGAGTCACGCACCAGGCGCGGTGGGGACACGAACACTGCCATCTCACCGCTCAGATAGTCCCCGGAGCAGCACAAGCCGAAGCTCGGCCACCGGGCGCCCCGTCCGAGCTGCACAGGCCGCAGCCGTGGCCGGGGTCTGGGGGCACCCAGGGCCAAGTTCGCAGCCCCGGACTCTCCACGAGCGAGCCGTGGTCTCAGTGACCACACTCGAGCCAGCTGCACGCTGCCACATCCCCGAGGACAGACACATTTGGGCACACGGCCAACTCCCCTGCGGCGGCGCACCGCGCCTCCCGGGTGCGCTCGTGGGCGCAGGGTCCCGCTCCCTGGCTCGGCGTGGCCTGTGCCGCCAGCTATAAATGAGGACCCCCACCTTTAACGGTCATCTCGAAGGAGCTAGACGGCCCCAGGGGATGGAGGCAGGGACTCGCGGAGCCGGGTGCGCGTGGGCAGGGCTGGGGGAAGCGGTAAATGTGATCAGTTGTTACGGGCGTGCCGCGAGCGTGTTATAAACATGCGGTTCTTGTGTAAGGGCGCGAGGGCATCGCTGGGAGCTGGCTGGCCCCCAAGTGAACGGTCGTCCCCGGAGCAACTGTGCCTGGCCCAGCTGCGGCAGTCGCGTGTTCGCCGCGGTCCTTCGGCGTCGGGTTGCGTGCACAAGCACGCGCGCGAGTGAGTGAGGGCGCCTCGCCGGGATGGACGGCCAGCGCCCGGATCCGCGTCGTGTAGCTGTCGCTCCCGCTTCCCAAGTCCTGCAAGAGGCTGCCGTTCCTACCCGCCCCAGGCCGCAGACGCCCCGCCCAGGCCGGCGGGAAGCCCGGGCAGCCGGGGCGCTGGCGGCGGAGCGGAAAGGCAGGGCAGGGCCGGCAGGGCGCCTCCTCCCGGGCCGCTGCGGGGCGCAGCCTCCCCATTTCCTGTCCGGCCCCGCTCCTCCCCCAGCTTCCTCTGGGGCCAGGCCCGGGGGCTGGGCGTCAAGGACACCCCCTCCTCACTGCAGTCCCGCCACCCTTTCCAGCGCCGCCCCCACGGGAACGCAGCGAGGGGACATCAGGCCCCCTCCCACCCCACCGATCCCCACAGCCCCGTGGCCGCCCGGGTCCCGGGTCCCCAGCACAGGTCCCGGCCCGTCTGAGTCTGCGTGGGCCTTCTGCACCTCGAAAGCCGCGACTGAACGCCTGCAGTGAGCGAGGCTCCGGGGACTGAAGACTCTGATGGGGGAGGCGCTGGGATTCAGGGAGGGCCACGTGGTGGGCGGAGGAGGGAGGACAGGCGACAGCCAGGGCGGCCGCTGTCTCCGGGAGGCGCAGCAGGCAGAGGGAGGCGGAGGCGCCCGCGGCCCGCTGCTCTCGGGAGAGGTTCTTCGGGCTGGAGCGGCGGTGGCGCGGTTGTCATGGCAACCGGGAAGGATTTCCCAAACACCGCCTGCGCCTCGCCTCCGCGGAGCACCGGCTGGGAGCCAGTCCCGGGCCCCACGTGGTGTGCAGGAGTGGAGCTGCGCGCAACCCAGGCGCCCAGAGTGCCCCCCACGGGAAAGAAAGGCGGGGAGGAAATGTTTTTATTGGGGGGGTCTGGAAGTACAGGTTGAGACTGTAGTCACAGCATGCGCAAAGGTCCTCGGGCAGGCACACGGAGGGGTCAGGTGTGCCTGGACCGCAGGGCTAGTGTTCCCCCAAAGCGTGGCACTGTGACAGTGAAGCAGTTTGGAGGCTGGAGGTCTCCACATCTGTTGTCTCTTGTCTCTCCTAAACTGTGTCCCTAGAAACCAGAATTCCTCTTCTGCACAGCAGGTCATAGAAATTGGAGCCCTGGACCCCGAAAACAAGCTGTCGCACCTCAAAAGATGGGTTGGTGTTTGGGTCAGTGGTGAGTGTAGGCCTTGAATGCATGAGGCCCTGGTTGCATCCCCAGCACCACACAACAAAACTTGAAAGGCCCGCTGTTCCTACTGTCTCCCGGGAAGATCTCTCCAGGCACAGGGTTCCAGCCCGGAAGAGGTGGTGCACACTGTGGAGACTGAGACAGGAGGATCGCAAATTCAAGCCCAGCATGAGCACCTCAGGCTGGACCTGTCTGTGCCCAGCCCTTCCCCCTGCAGGAGTGACAGGAGGTGGCTGGGGTCGCCAGGGCTGGCAGGCCCAGCTGGGACTGACCTGTCTCCTGGGCTCCAAAGCCGCCTCCCTTCTGCCTCCCGGTTGCTGCTTCCATGCGGACCGGGGCTAGCTTTGTCACGGTTGATTGTCACTTGCCCCAGCCACCATCCAGATCCAACCCCAGGACAGCACAGTGGGGCCTGGCGGGTGCATTTGTCTCTCTCCAAGGAGGGGAGCCAGGCACCACCCCCTCCTTGCTGAAGTGGGGCCGGGCCGGGTGGGGAACAGGCCGGTGGCCATGCTGCCCCTGCCCAGCTGTGTGTGGGAGCCAGCCGCAACTCCCAGACCCATTTCCTCACAGAGGCTGTAATTATGGGTAATTTTCTAAATGCAACACAAAAATTAAACCCCAAACACCGGGAGAGGCTCCTACAGCAGCTGGTGGAAGCAGAGGGGAGGTCGGGGCTCGGGTCGGGGGCACCGGCCTGGGCTTCGGACAGCACCAAGGGTCCTCCCCAGGCCCTGGGTTCCGAAACGGGGACTGTGCCCAAGGTCCAGCGCCTGGAGCAGAGCCTGAGTCAGAACCCCAGCCGTGCCCTGTAGCCTTGATCAGCTGCAAGTAAGGCTGGTGACCTTTCTTGGGCCTCCCCAAACCTGCAAGGGGACGTTCTTTCGAGAGAAGGAGGCTGGCCCAGGAGTCTCTGCCAAAACCCGCCATATCCATCCTTGCTACACTTCCGCTGAGCCGTGGGCGCTGCTACCTCCCTAGAGCCTTCCGTGGCTCCCGTGGCCCATGACTCAAGTCCTGCACTCTGCCCTGTGCCTGCGACCCCACTAGAGGACCAGGCACTGGCAACCGTGAGTCCCCCTTCCGGTCACCCAGGACCCCTCCCACAGCCCCACAGAGAGGCAGCGTCTGGGGGAGGGCACCCGTTCTGTCCCCCTGAGGTTCCTCCACCAGGTCACCGCTACCTCGCCTGGTGGCTATTGTCCCCTGTGGAGGTCCTCCCCAGGCAAGGAATGCTTCCTGGGGTGACCTCCCTGACAGCGCCCTCATTCTGAAAGTCGAACTTGCCATCCTTCTGCCTCAGCCTCCTTAGCCTAGAAGAGAGGCGCTCATAGGGCCGCCTGGCTGTGACATGTCATTCTTTAACTTCGTGTGTCTGTTGTCTGCACCCTAGGAACCTCCTACTTTCTCCGAGGGCAGGCATTTGAGTGTGTTACTTAGTTCCGCGTCCCTCCCGCCTAAGGGACGTGCGAGCACACAGTAGGCACTCAATAAACTCCCCCCAGGGCTGAGGTGGGGCGTGTCCAGGAGAGGGCGGGCGAGGAGACGCGCGTTTCTGCCCCAACAAGGCCACCTGGACTGCAGTTCCGAGAGTGGCCACACAGTGGCGCCAGAGAGCGCTAGTTCCTGAGGATCCCAGCCCCGTTCTTCCTTTGGAGTCCCGGTGGCCCCCCACCCTGACACCCCGAGTTCTCCGAGTGGAAGCTGGTAAGATTCCCTTGATCTTGGATTTGTTGTCAGTTCCGCTTCAGACGTATATTTATGAGCCGGGCGTGGTGGCCCACATCTGTAATCCCAGCACTCTGGAGGCTGAGGCAGGAGGATCGATGAGAGAGTTCTAGTCCAGCCTGCAGTACGTAGTGAGACCCTGTCTCAAAAAAGAAAAGCATGGTTCCACCGCTTGCCTCGCAAGCGCAAGGTCCTGAGTTTGATAACTGTACAAAAACTACTAGCACATCTTGTTAGGGTTTTTTCTTTTTTGGTACTGAAGATTGACAGGGGGGGGGGACTCTGCACTGAGCTCCTTCCTTGGCCTTTTTTATTTTTATTTTTATCTTGAGAGAGAGTCTCGCTAAGTCTCTAAATTGCCTGGTCTGGACTTGAAATTTCAGTCCTCTTGCCTCAGGCTCCCAAGGGCTGGGATTCAGCAGGTTGTTTTGGTTTTTGTTTTTTTGCGGAATCAGGGATCGAACTCAGGACTTTGCGCTTGCCAGGCAGGTGCGCTGGTGACACCAGCTAAACCTCCGCCCCTGGCCGTTTTTCATTGTTATCTAGAGAAGCCTTCCTGGACTAATTTCCAATCTCCAGCCCAGCCCAGCCTACCCTCCCAGCCCCCTCTGCTTAGCTTTTCCTCCATAACACCGATTTCCTAGCCTCCTGGTCCTTCACTGATGCATGATTCTGCTGCACGCCTCCTGCCTCAGCCTCCAGAGTGCTGGGATCACAGGTGTGCACCACCACACCCTGCAAGAAACACTTTTGGGGGGGGGGCAGCTAAATCCCCAGCCCTTATTTATTTATTTATTTATTTATTTATTTTTAAGACAGGGTCTCGCTATGCAGTGCAGGCTGGCCTTGAGCTCACTATGTACCGACCCCAGGCTGGCCTCCAACTCACTGCGATCCTCCTGCCTCAGCCTTCCATATGCTGGCCACTATGCCCATTCCTTTTTTTTTTTTTTTTTTTTTGGTACCAGAGATCGAACTCGGGACCTTGAGCTTGCAAGGCAGGTGCTGGAACCACTGAGCTAAATCCCCGGCCCAACCATGCCCATTCTTAAAAGTAAAACTTAGCAAACCAAGCTACATACTGTTAGGGCTGGGGATTTAGCTCAGTGGTTCCACTGCCTACCTTGAAAGCACAAGGTCCTGAGTTTGATCCCCAGTACCAAAAAAAAACCAACAAGCTACATACTGTTATCCCTGGTGGTTGCCGTGGAAGGATGGTAGCTCCCCTCAGCCCCACCCATACCCTAGGCATCCTCCCTGGGACCTGGCTGAGGGGCGGAGGGACTGGAAGCTGCATCAGGGCCCGGCGAGTCTGCAGCCCTTCCCGGGAGATGCAGGGAAATCACTGCTCCGGAGCGCAGGTGCCCTACAGTGCGGCCCCACTCACTGCAGGCTTGGGCCAGCCCCTCACGCACGAGGTGCCCTCTTTACCCATCTGAAGATGGAGGTAATGATGCTCCTACCTCCGGGCCAATTGTGGACACACTGTGGTTTAATCCTACCTTAGTAACCCAAACCTGGCTGCTGCTATTAAGATCATCTAAAGTGCTTAAACCGGGCGTGGTGCACTTCTTTAATCCCAGCGTTCTGGAAGGCTGAGGCAGGAGGATCACACGTTCAAACCCAGCCTGGGCAATTTAGTGACTTAGTGAGATGCTGTCTCAGAATGAAAAATAGAAAAGGGCTGGGGATGGAGCTCGGAGTGAGCTCAGCTGAGTGTGGGCTGCGTCACCGGCTGTGACACATCTGTCTTCCTTCAGTGTCCCCAAGAATTCAGGGGCATCCGGAAAGCTTCTGGGGCGGTGAAGCATGCACACGGGGGCAGCGTCCCCCCCAGACCAGTGCTGTCCCGGGGGACCAGTCGTCCTCCAGGTGTGGAAGGGCTGCTCCCCAGGGAGCCTGTGGCCCGAGACTCTGTCAGATCTGCCTTCATGGGGGACCCTGGCTGCTCAGCCACCCTTGGCTGCCTGGAGCCACAGCCTGTTCCTGTCCCCTCCCCAGGGCACTCAGTGGCTTCTAAAATTTTACCATCACCAATTTATTTATTGATTGATTGATTGATTGATACTGGGGATCGAACTCGGGTCCTTGCGCTTGTGCAGCAGGTGGCAAAACCACTGAGCTAAATTCCCAGACCCACTATCACCAATTTAAATGCAGTCTTAGCCAGCAGTGGTGGTGCACGCCTGTCATCCCAGCACTCAGGAGACTGAGTCGGGAGGACATCCGTGAGTTCAAGACCAGCCTGGGCTACAGACTGAGACCCTGTCTCAAAAAACAAACAACAATGACAAAAAGTAGAGACTCGGTCTCTCCGAGTCATGAGCCAAGGAGAGAGTCTTGGAGCTGGGGTTCGGCTCAGTGGTGGGGCCTGGGTTCCCCTAAATATCACACTTCTGCATGGGTCCTGACATCTCAGCCTGGACGCCAGCCCCAGCCCCGTTGGAGGCAGAGATCAGCCCCAGAGAGGGTCCGGTGCTGGCGGGGCTTGCACAGCGGCTGAGGCCCAGCCTGGTTTGTGGGGTGACAGGGGCTCAGTTGAGGGGGTCACATTGGTGGCTGGAGGCTTGGTGGATGCAGGTCAGGGTCACAGGGCAGATTCGAAGGTGCCCTAGGGAGCTTCCACTGTGTCCCTCACCACTGGCAGCCCCCTTGGGACCCTGCTGTCTCGGGCTGTCCCTGCCCCCATTCCCTAAGACATTCCCTGCTCCTGGCCTCCACTGTTGCTTAGAACCTCTGGGGCCGCGGATGTGCCCGGTGAGCAGATGCGAGCTGTGTCACCAGCGAAGGTTCCCATCCGCATCCACCTGCTCTGTCACCGTCTGGGGGTCCATGTCTTGGGATCTCTGTCCTTCTGCCTGGGCCACCTCCGGGGCTCTCAGGGGACGATGTGGGACGGGGTGACCCTGCCTGAGACTTTGCTGTGGTTGGGGGTACAAGAGGGATCGCAGGGGCCAGGCGTAGTTCTACACACTCATCATCCACATTCCAGGAGGCTGAAGCAGGAGGGTGGCAAATCTGAGCCCAGCTCGGGCAAGTTGGAGAGACCCCCCCCCCCATCTAAAATTTTACAATGTTAACAAGGGCTGGAACGGAAGCAAAGAATGAAGGCCCTGAGTCCAGTCCCCAGTGTCACACACACAGGAAGGAAGGACGGGACAGTGCCCAGGCTCCGCTCAGCCCAGCGGGTGAGGTCAGGGAGGACGGTGCGCTCCCCTCCCTGGGCCTGGGCTTCAGGCCCCACAGCCACCCGCTGCCTGGCCCCTGGCCCTGCCCACCCTGCGCAGTCCCGGGTCCTCCCCAGCCCGGCCCCGCCCAGGCTTCCCCTTTCTCCTTTCCTTCCTCAAACCCCAGCACGGGCAGAGCCCCAGCCCCAGCCTTTTCGGCTTTTGCTCTGAGACAGGGTCGTCCCCCAGGCTGGGCTGGAACCTGCGGTCCTCCCACCTCAGCCTCCTGAGTGCGAGGATGCCAGGCGCGCCCACCCCGGCCAGCACAGAAGCGCACACCAGGTGTTGAGCCCCTGGAGCCGCCATCCTCCCTTCTTTGGACGGGAGGCGTGGAGACAGGAAATGGGAGGAGACACCGCCCCCTGGGGTCTAGGAGTAGCACTAGCTTTTGTCCGTCCATTCCCCAGACCTGGAGACTAAGGCTCTGAGTGGCCGGCGTCCCTTGGAGCTGGCCCGACTGGATGTGAACCTGGATGTGTGACACTGCTCGCCCCTTCTGCTCTCACACCCACCATGGCTCCCACTGTCCCCGGGATGAAGCTGAGCCTTTACCCTGGCTGGGGAAGCCTGCACCAGCCACCTCCCCCAGCTCTGTCCCTCCTCTTAACCTCCCCACCCAGCCACTCCTCCTAACCATGCTGCTCCAGCCAGGAGTTGGCAAACTCCTACTCATATGTTGAAGCCCCAACCCTAATGCTCCCTTCCCCTCCTCCTGCAGGCAGTCTCCCGGGACACTTTCCCTCCCTCTGGCCCTGTCCTGACTCCATAGGCTGGGGGGGGGGTTATCTGTGTCCAGTTCTATTTCCTCCCAAGACTCGGCACTCCTTGAGGATCTGGCCCCGGCTGAGGCCTCTTCAGGAGCCCAGCACGAATGTTTATTGAGTGACTGGATGAGTGCACAGGTCACCAGGGCCCTGAGCTGCAGTGGCAGTTGAGGAGCAAATGAAGGGCCTGAGGTCTCTGGGTTTCACCAAAGGGGAAGTGGGACCCTGGGCCACCCCCCCTCCTCCCTGAGAGCCAGAGGGAGGGCGGATCTTTGAGGCTTCTTTCTTCCTCTCTTCGCCTGGCCCAGCGACAGTTCCTCCCCAGTCGGCAAAGAGCCAGCGCAGAGCCCCAGGGCCCAGAAACCACTGCAGCTTGCCGAGCCTGGCGGGCGTCCAGGTTAGCCACTGAGGCACAGGCGTGGATGGGGACGGGGGAGGGGGGAGGGGGGAGGACCACGGCCCAGACCTGGGGCCTGTGGTGGGGCCCGGGATGGGCCAGGCTGGTTCCAGGGCAGCTGCTCATTTGCATACTGCCCCATCCTGGCCAATGAGGCGCTCAGATGATTGTGGGGAGGGGGACTGGCACGGAAAGGGCGAAGCGCTGGGCGCTGTGGTCCCAGCCCATGGGTGCCAATTGGGAAGACAGGCTGGTGACAGAGCCAGGCAGCTCGGCGACAAGCCAGGGGCTGCTGCCATGTCCGAAGCAGCCTGAGCTGGCTTGAGCTGTTTTGAGACAGAGTCTCACTATGCAGCCCGGGGTGGCTTCAAGTTCTCTGCGACCCTCCTGCCTCAGCCTCCCGGTGCTGGGATGACAGCCTCGGCCCCCACAGCCTGCTCAGGTTGAGCTATTAAAAGAGAAGTAATAAAGTCACAGCTCGAGGGCTGCAGCCATGGGGCCGAGCTGGGCTCAGCATCGCTCTCCCCTAGGCTGCCTGCACAGGGGCCATGCTGGCCTGGCCAATGCTGCTGCTGCTGCTGGTGCTACTGCTGCAGGGGCTGCGGAGCCAGGAGCCGTCCTGCGCCGTCTTCCTGGGAGACCTGGACTGGAGCCACGAGTTCAATGCCAGCTGCCTGAACTTCAGCGGCCGTGCGCTGCGCCTGCCCCTGGACCGGCCGCTGCGGGCCTCGAACCTGCGGCTTCTCGACCTGTCGGGCACTGGGCTGCGGGAGCTGCCCCTGCCCTTCCTGGCACCCCTGCGGCAGCTGCAGGTCCTCTGCATCCTGCACAACCGGCTGGACCGCGTGGATGCGGCGTTGGCTGCTCACTGCGACCTGGACCTCAGGGCCGACTGCGGCTGTGCCCTGGGTCCCTGGCACCAGGCCCGGCACGACAACTGCTCGGGCCAGAAGCCCCTGCACTGCCTGCACCCAGCCACAGGCGCCTGGCGGAACCTCTCCGCCTTCCTGGAGCTCAGCTGCGCCCCTGGCCTGGCCCCGGGCAGCGTCGCAGGAGTGGTGGCAGGCAGTGTCCTCCTCCTCACGCTTGTGGCTGCGGGCGCCATGCTGGCCTGGAGGCGCTCCAGGCTCCGCTCGGCCAGCAACCAGGGCCCAGGCAAGGCCTGGGCACCTCCGGAGGGGGCCAGGCCCGGCTCGGGTGTCCAGCCTCGGTACACCAGCCGCATCCCAGGGCTCAAGGCCCCGGGCCTCACGCTGCCCGGCACCGCTGCGCCTGACTACGAGAACATATTCGTGGGACAGCCGGAGTGGCTAAGTAACGGGTGAGTGGCCCAGAGACCTCAGCCTTGGTGGTTAAATCCCCACTGTGCCAGCCAGGATTGGCAGTGAGCACCTATAGTCCCAGCACTCGGAAGGCTGAGGCAGGAGGATCACCACGAGTTCAAGGACAGCCTGGACTACAGAAAGAGACCCTGTCTCAAAAAAACAAAAGGGCCGGGGATTTAGCTCAGTGGCACCAAGCCTGTCTTGCAAATGCAAGGTCCTGAGTTCGATCCCCGGGACCAAAAAAACAAAACAAACAAAAACTCCCAGCTCTGCCTCATGCGGGCTGTGTGATTTTGGACAAGTAACTTCTGGTCTCTGGGCCGCCTCTTTGTGATGTGCCGGTGATCAGCCCTGCCTTGCATGGCAGGACCAGGCTGCGGGTGAGAACATCGAAGCTCTTGTCTTGGGTTCAAGCCTGTACCCTTGTGACCTGCAAACCCAGTTTCTGGGGCTCTGGATGGGAGAGGGTGGGGCTCGAGGCACAGGGGGCTGCGGCAGTGCCCAGGGGCCAGGCTGTGTGAGCCAGACCTGTCCGGGAAACTCTGCTTCCTCCCCTGCTCCCCATGACACACATAGGGCACTAGGGAGGTCACAGAGTCCCTGTCCCACACTCCAGCCTCCACCCCATGGTGGGTCCCTTCAGCCTGGGCAAAGTGAGCAGGGCAGAGGACGGCCCCCACTGTGGGCTTCTGGGACAGAGAAGGGGTGGGGCCCGGAGGACCCCAGAGCACAGGGCTGGGGCTGGGGAAGGAGCAGCCAATATGCAAAGCAGATGCAAAAGCAGCTGAAAGCAGAAGTGATCTGGGTTAGGAACCTGGCCTCACAAGGCACTGTGGCTTGATGTCACCAGCACTTCCAGTCCCGCCTCCTCATGTGCCTGGCCTCCAAAATACCAGCTCAGAATCAAATATACTGGGGATGGAACTCGGGGACCTTGTGCTTGTGAGGCAGGCGGCGGAACCACTGAGCTAAATTCCCATCCTCCATCCTACATTTTAGAGTCACAGAAATGGAGCCTGTGGGAAGCAGAGGAATGATTTGCCTCAGGTCACAGGATGAGGCAAAAGAGAAACTGATTCCCAGCCCTGTCCATCCCTGTGCAACCACTTATGTGTGCAGAGCAATTCACACTAAGATGTGAAGGACTGATAGATGTTTCTTAAAATGGACTTTTTTTTCCCTTTCAGAGATAGGGGTCTCACTATGTTGTCCTGGCTGGCTTTGAATTCCTAGTCTCAAAAAATCTTCCCAAAGTCATGTGTGGTGGTACACACCTGTAAACCCAGCAGTCTGTGAGGCTGAGTCAGGAGGATCGCAAGCTTAAGCCCAGCCTACTTAGTGATGGTAGTGAGATGCTGCCTCCTCGGAGTAAATAGTTTTAAAAGGTGCTGGGGATGCAGCTGGGGTGAGTGCTTGCTTACAGGTGGGAGGCGCTGGGCTCCATCCCCAGCAATCGATTTCCTCCCCTCGCAGGAGCCCCTGGGCTCCTGGCACTCATGGCTGTGGCCGTGGCCGTGCTGAGGCGGATGTTTCAACTGGAAACTGAACCTTGATTGAAACACAAGTGTGCCACGCACCCAGGTCTAACGAAGGACGGTCGCCCTCGCTCCCCCAGGTCCCCAATGCCCGCAGGTTCCCACGCTGACTCAGCAGCTCCACCCCACCTCACCGCCCCCCACTTCCCCAGGGGAAACCCAGCCAAGATGGGACTCAGTTTCCTCACTTCTTGTTTTTTGAGGCAGAGTCTCATTGTGTCATTCAGGCTGGCTCGGAGCTCACTGTGTAGTCCAGGCTGGCCTTGAACTCATGGTGATCCTCCTGTCTCAGCCTCCCCAGTGCTGGGATGACTGGCATGTGCCACCACACCCAGCTCTTCTGGTCTCTAGACACTGGGGTGCACTGGCTTCCTGGAGCTTTCTGCAAGCCCCCCAAGTCCCTCCCACCACCCACCACCGACCTGTCGCCCACAGGGCTCACCCTTCTGAGGACGGCGATTTCTATATGAACTACAGGGGCCCCAGCCTGGATGTGCAGCCCGTCTACGGCAACCTGCAGGGCCCTGAGCAGGAAGACGAGTACGAGATCTCCCAACACTGAGCCCGCCAAGCCCTGCTGGGTGACTCCCAAACTTCCGCCTTCCCTGGCCCCGGTTTCTCCTTCTGAGTACAAGACAGAGCCAGTCCAGCCTGGCCCTCCAGGGGCTCTGTTGTCACCTTCTCAGCCGATACATGGGGAGAGGGGACCACAAGGGGCCGGCAGGGCAATGTGTGCCCCTGTGGCCCTCCCATGGTATTAGGTGGGGCCTGATAAATGCCTGGCCGGGTGAGACCCCACATCCCTCCCGCTCCCGCGTGGCCTCCTGTCTTTGCCTGTTGGTTCCTTTGTCACCCAGAATGCCGCCTCTTCCGCCTGTTGTCTAAAACGCTTTAATACTGATGCAGAGCCGTGGCCTGGGTGTTGGGGGTGCAGGTCTCCGTCTCCGTCACCCATCTAGAAGTCAGGGTGACTGGGTGGGTCCCTGAGATGGCATTAGATCTCAACCAGCGCGTCCTTCAAGACCGAAGTGCGATGCCTTTTCAAGCAGCCTTCCCAGACTCCTCCTCGGGCAGTGGCAGCCCCTCCCCATCCTTCCTTCTCCCGTCCCTCCCCCCTCCCCCTCCCTCCCTCCTTCCTTTTTTGCTGGGAACGAAACCTATGGCCTCACACACACTAGGCAAGTGCTCCCCACAGAGCTACACCCCAGCCCTTTTAGTTTTTTCTGAGACACGATCTCGTTAAGCTGCCCAGGCTGGGCTCAAACTTGCAACCTTCCCGCCTCAGCCTCTGAAGTAGCGGGGATCACAGACGTGCGCCCCTGTGCTCCATGGATTTCAAGAATTGTTCAAGTCCGTGCCTCAGCTGGATTCTCTTGTCAGTTGGTCCAGAGCTGGTCATAGACTTGCCTGGTCCTGGGTCATCAAGGCTGGATGGCAGGGGAAGCAGGGCAAAGGTCTGACTGAAGGCTTCTGTGTAAGAGGGCAATCTGCAGTGGGTTTTGAGGGATGTGTAAGTGGTTGAGAGCTGGAGAGGAAAAGGCATATCGGAGGAGCCGGGCAGTATGAAAAGCCACATGCCCAGCACAGATCTGGCAAACACCGCTGGGGACAGCAGGGACAGATGCATCGAGGCTCTGCTGGCCTCACAGCAACCCTGATCTTGGGTTTCACTCTGAGGCCCCCTCAGGGCTGTTTTAACAGCGCTGCCACCAGGCCCCACACCTGCCCCAGGACCTTCGCATGCACGGCCTGCCCCTGCCTGTCACGGCCATCCCTCAGCTGTCCCATCCTCTGTGTCCTCCAGGCCCAGCTTACATGTCACCTCCTTGAGACCCCATCACTGGCAACCCTAGGTCACCTGTGCCCTTCCACAAGGACTGAGCAGCTGGCCTCCCCGCACAAGCCTTACACAACGGCGCGCCCTCTTGGGGTCCCCCCCCCGCATGTCCAGAATCACAGCGGGGTGCCCCTGTCTGGTGGCCCCGACTCAGGGCCCCTGAACACATTGGGGCACACTGGGGCATTCAGGTTGGCCTCTGGGAGTGGCATTCCGGGGACATTTCCCTGCCCAAGCAGGTCCTCCGCCCCCCTCCGCCCCCCTCCGGCCAGCTCTTCTGGAAGTCCGGGGGCCCAGAACCGGCGACATTGGCGATTACCCGGCCGCTTACCCGGCCGAGGAGCACTGCGTGGGGATGGCCGTCACACCAATTTCCCCTGCCCTTCGCGGACGCGGAAGGCGTCGCCTGGCGTTTGGAAAGGTGGCTCGAAAGTGGGCACAGCCGAGCCCACGGTGCTGACCACACCGGACCCGGCCGGTGCCCCCCAAACTCAGAGGAATCTGGAGTCACTCATCCTGGACTCCACGGGAGCCCTTTGCACGTCACTTTTATTACTAGAGTTTTAAATAAATACATTTGCCATGGAATCAGTCCCCAGGCAGGTAACCCCAATAAATTAACAATAAATACGGACTAAAAAAAACAAACAAACCCAAAACGGACTTATAAATAGTTGTCATGGTGGGATGAGGAGTGAAGAGGAGGAGCCGAGAACTCGGCCCCGCCCTCAGTGGGCGGGGACGACGGAGGGCACGCCCACAGACGCGGGCGAGCTGTCGCTCTTGGACAGTGGGCACCTGCTCATGCGCAGTGGCAGCTTTTGGCGACAAGGTCGTCGTAGGTGTGCAGCGTGATGCCACTCTCCGTCTTCTGCATGAGGACGACCAGGTCGTAGGTGGAGGGCACGCAGCAGGGCGCGGGCACCAAGTCCGGCCTCAGGCCGTGCAGACGCGCTTTGACCTGCGCGTGCGTGTTGGCAGAGCGATACAGGCTGGGGCACTCTCCCACGCACATGCCCACGTGCAGCTCGCGCGGTGACAGCACCCAGTCGGTCCAGCCCAGGTCTTGCAGTGACGCGCGCACCGTGTGCAGGCGGCAGCAGCGCCCGGGCCCCAGAGGGCAGTCGTCCTTGGTGCGCATGCGCGCGTTGCGGCGCCCTCTGGCGGCGCGAGTCCGCAGGTGCAGCTCCAGCTGGGGCGGCGCGGGGAGCGGCGCCAGCCACAGGTCGGACGGCGGCGACAGGCGCAGGAGCAGTGTGGGTCCCCGGGGTCCACGGCGCAGCTGGCGCAGCAAGGGCTGCGTCACGTCCCAGGGCTCGGGTGCCGCCGAGGACAGTCGGAGCAGGGCGCGGTGCACGCGGTAGGCGCCAGGGACGCCCGGAGGCAGCGACGCCCTGGGGATGCGCAGGTGCAGGCTACCGTCGGGCCTGGGCTGCACTGTGGGAGAGACGGGGACGAGGGTCACCGAGGCCGCTGTGCCGCTGCCACCCGCAGGCTAAGCCCCATCGCACCCCAGGACCTTTGCACGGCCCCTTTCGTCCGCCCAGAGCGCCCTCCCGGGCCCCCCTGCGGGCACAGGGGCCACCGTGTCATCTCACACGTGGCCTCCTTGGCCCAGTAGGTGCGTGATGAACACGTGAAGGAGTGCATGTGTGCCCAGTATTTAGGGTGTGGGACTCAGACCCCGGCTCTGCTTCCTCTGGAAATTGAAAAAAAAATTGTTTTTTTCTTTTTGGCTTTGTTTTGTTTGAGACCAGTTTGTGCTATGTCGCCCTGGCTGGCCTAGAACTCCTGGGTCCAAGCGAGCCTCCTGACTCAGCCTCCGGAGTAACCCGGGCGGCATGCGCGCTCCCCTGTGCAGGCCGGGGGTGCAGCCGCAGCCCGGGCCTCAACTCTGCACTCAAAGTTTTCAAGAAAAGAAAAGTTCGGGCCCCAGGGCCCTGCAGAGGCGCCGCCCGCGCCCGCGAAGCACCTGCGGCGCCTCGGGTCTTGATGCGCGGTTGCATCAGCCTGGGAACCCGCCCCAGGCCCCGCCCTCTGCGCCCTCCTCGGTCCGCCGCCAGGGTCCCTGAGCTCACTCCGGCTTCCCGAGGTCCCGGGCGCTGTGCACCCTCGGGGGGAGCCGGCATCTCGGCCCGGCCTCCCCATCCGCGCCGCAAGACCCTTTGCAGCAGCTACGTGGTCCCAACCGGGTCCTCGCACACAAAATCCCTGCTGCTCCGGGAGGTCCAGGAGAGGAGCAGGGCGCTCCTGTCCTCTGCCCAGTGGGGAAACTGAGGCTCCGGGAGGGTTAGAAGAGGAGCCCCGGGGAAGTGATGGGGACCCGGGGCGGCACTCACGTTCAGGGGCGAGCGTGTGGACCGCAGGCGCGGGGCTGAGCTCGGCGTTCAAGGCTTCTGCGCTCCGGTTCGCGCGCAGCCGGGCCAGCAGGTCCTCGAAGCGTCTCCGCAGCTCCTGGGACGTGTGGACCCCAGGGTCCGGATCCGGATCTGGGTCCGCGGGAAGCTTCTTGGCCTGGGGCAGGGCGCCCCCAGGCGGCGGCTGGGACATCGCCGCGAGCAGCAGCACTGTGAGCCCCGGGCCCAGCATGTTTGTGGCCGCCGCTTGCCGGCCGCGCCTTTATGGACCCGGACTTCGCCCGCCCCGCCCCGCAGACTCTGGTGACCACGGGGCCAGGGGGCGGGACCCGGGGCTTGACGAGAGGGGGGTACCGGACACCGGAGACCCCCCCGCCGGCGTCCGCTGGGAGCGTGGCTTTGTCTCCGAGGAGCGCGGGACAGGTGGCCCCTGCCCCCGGACTGGCCGCTCCTCTCTGGCAGGGACCAAAGACTGAGATGTTGAAAAAGCACAGAATGCGGGAAAAAAAGGACAAGAAAGAACCGGAAGGGGCAAGTTTGGGCAAGCCCTGACCTGCCCAGGAAAAGAGGGGCTGAGGCTTCCTCTACAGAACCGGTTAGATGAGGGGTAAAAGGCAGGACAGGCCTTTAGTGGTCCACTGGGCATTGCAGTGACTAGGAACTCCTACTCATGCTTCAAAACCCTACTCAGAAAGCCTCTTCTTCAGAAACCTGTGACATTGACCTTGCAGGCTGAGCAAGGGATATCACTCCCCATCTCTCCCTCAGGCCTGGAGCTCACCTCCCAGCACTAGCAGTGTCTGCTTGCCTCTTTCTCCCCAAGCCTTGGATGGAAAGCACTTGGCTTCCGCAGAGGGGTACAGGGTGACCCTGCTGCGGAGACCTACACATGTGCCCCATTGCAGCAGGGAGACCTGCTCTCCGGTGCCAACATGGACCCAGGTTCAAATCCCAGCGCGGGCTCTCTGTGTGCCCTGGGCAGGTGCCTCACCCTCCCGGTGCCACAGAGCAAAGGCCCTGGTGTGGAGCAGGTGACTGGGCCCTCTCCTCGCCCGCAAGGACACAGAGGGTGACAAATGTCAACCGCTTAGTCTGCTTTCTGGGGTCCCAGGTTCGGGGTCTCTAAGTTGCTCTGGCCTCGAACCCGAGACCCTCCTGCCTCAGCCTCCCTGGTAACCTTTCTGCGACTCTCAGGTCCTGAGACCCCCCGCAGGGCCCTGCGGTTGGAAGGGCTGCGACGGCGTGGGGAAGGGCGCCCCCTGGGGGCCGCCGCGGAATCCTCTCCAGAGTGGCGCCGGGACCGTTTTGGGCGCGCCTGCCCCAGGCCGGGTCCCCTCTGTGGTCCTGCAGAAAGTGGAGCACACCTGTGATCTCGGCTACTCCGGAGGCTGAGGCAGGAGCATAGCCAAGTCCAGGCCAGCCTGGGCAACTTAGCCAAGCCCCTGGTTCCAGACACTGATTTTCAGAGGGCTGGGAGGTGGCTCAGTGGCACAGTGCCCCAGGTTCAGTCCCCAGACCCCAGCAAGAGAAACAGACTGAAGAAGGAGAGAAACAAAAGACACGGAGAGGAAGGGGCCCCACGCGCGACCGAACCCTCACCAGGAGACTGGTGGGGTCCCTTCCCCAGCACCAGCCCTGGCCACCTCCACCCCGGTCAGCCCAGCGTCTGTCCCAAGGGCTTCGGCAGCAGACCTGCGTGCCATCGGGTGTGCAGTAGGTGCTCGATAAATGCACCGCTCACGTGGCCACGTGAAGCACAGCCTTCCCGGGAGGGAGGGACCAGGCCCCGGCAGGGCTCAGGGGGTCTCGGGGTGCACAGGGGCGGGGTCTCCCCGACAGCATCCCCATCACCTCCTTGGGCCTGGGAGGCCACTGAGAGGCTCTTCCTCACAGTCCCCACCGGGGGCCCCATGGGGCAGGCGCAGTGGTCGCCACCGTGACCCGAATTCCGTGGCAGCCACACGGCGAGGGGGCAGGGCCACACTTCCGTGTGTTCCAGGACAGTTCCGTGCCCCACGGAGGATTCTGTCCCGTGACCCCTGGAACCCTGGAAGCCCCTAATTTGCCTCCTGCCTCTGGGTTTGGCTGGGCTGGATGCTTCCTATCAATGAGGTCACACGCCATCCACCTTCTGCTTCTTTTTTTTTTTTTTTTTTCAGTAATAGGGACCAAACCCAGGCCCTTTGCACTGTTACATCCCCAGCCTTTTTTATTTCTAATTTTGGGACAGTGTCCTGCTAAGTCACTAAGTGGCCCAGGTTGGACTCGAACCCAAGATCCTCCTGCCTCAGCCTCCCCAATAGCTGGGATCACAGGTGTGTGGCATAGTGCCCAGCTGCTCCCTTCTTGTTCATTGCTTTATAGTAGTCCACCAGCTGTGCTCACAGTGGGGCCGCCGGCCTGGATGGGCATCTGTCCCTTTAAGGGTGGTTAACTTTATTCATGGAATTTCCCTGAGGTGACCAGGGAGCCCGCCCCCACGGGTCTCCTGGTGCAGGGACGCACGCAAGGTTTCCACTTCACCAAACCCTGGAATGGCACATCTGCAGCCGATGAGCTCATGGCTCCCGGGGCGGGCAGCAGGAGTGGGTGAGCTGCGGGCGGGCAGCCAGGGGTGACCTCAACAGCCACCGCGGTCCCCAGGGCTGCAGTAGGGCAGAGGTGACCTCAAGGGCCACCTGCACCCAGCTGCTCCCCAGGTCCCCGGGCCCCCGGCCAGGAGAGAGGGACTGGCTTTCCAGTTCCCGCAGCCTCAGCTCAGCAAACATGGCCCTGGCAGGAGACCTGAGAGCAGCCAGAGGCTTTTTTGTTGTTTTCCGGTATTGGCCTTGAGCTGGGATTGAACCTGGGGCCTCACATGGAACCTCCATCCTCAGCCCTTTTTATTTTTTGAGACAAGGTAGCCCAGATTGGGCTCAAACTTGTGATCCTCCTGCCTTAGCCTCCTGAGGAGCTGGGCTGACAGGCATGAGAGCCAGGCCACAGGGAACATTTTCAGGAGCACAGGCCAGAGGTCCTTGGGATACAGTCTTCCTGCAGCTGCTGCGGTGGACTCATTACCTGCACACCACAGAGGGAAACCGAGGCAGGGACGGGTCATGGCTGGGTCACATGGCCAGGAGCCAGGGCGCAGGTGGACCCCACTGGCCTTGTACAGGCACAGTGTGAGCTCCCTGTGTGCCATGGGGGAGCCATGGCTCGGACAGGACCTGGGTTCAAATCCTGACCCCACCGGTCCTGGCTTGCGCCCTCAGTGCCCGGTTCCGAGGCCTGCGGTTCTTCCACTCTGCACGCCCAGGGGAAGAGCCCAAAAGGAGCAGGCAGGGCTGGGTGTGCAGGGCTCGCGCTCCCCACAGGACTGCGCCCCGCCAGGGACTGCTCCTTAAGCAACGCCAGTTTAGGGCGGGGGATTTAGCTCAGTGGTTTCGCCGCCTGCTGCGCAAGTGCAAGGACCAGAGTTCAATCCCCGGTACCAAAAAATAAAAAAAATGACCAAAAAAAAAGCAACGCCAGTTTACGCGTTTATTTATTTACTTGGTTTTATTGTGTGAAAAGCACCATTTCCCCCTTACAAAAGGGCAATTCGGGGCGCTCAGCCCACCCTCGGGTGGCTCGGCACTCTGCCCGCGTCCCGACCCCGCCTGGCAGCCTGTTCACCCTAGGTGCCCACAGACCCGCCTGCCTCGGCCTCTGCGAGGGCCCCTTCCTGGCCGCACCTGGGTGGTTAGGGGGCGGAGATTTTATGAGAGCCACCTGTTTCGGTTCCCTCAGGCACGGGCTGGGGGAGGAAACTGCTGAATCATAAGGTCACCCTGCTCACTCTGGCGTGCAGCCCGGGCCACGGCAGCAGCTTTTCCTGCCGCTCTTCTTCCGCAGTAGGAAGATGTGTCAGGTAGACGCACGGGTAAGGACCATGAGATACCAGCCACTCGAGAGGCGCCCAGCTCAAAAAGAGCCACTTTGTTTTCAGTTTCGTTTTTTGAGACAGTGTCTCACTGAGTGGCCCAGGCTGACCTCAAATTCATGGAAGTTCTCCTGCCTCAGCCTCCCAAGAGCTACACTGACCGGCGTGCAAACTGGGCACAGCCAACAGTTTTGCTTAAGTAGGTTCTAACACTTCTAGGGTGACCACCGGGAAATACCTATCTAATCAAGGGATCTGGGGAAAGGCTGATTTCAGCTCAGGGGCGTGGAGGTGGGTTCCCACAGGTCCTTTTAAGGCCACGCCCCATGACATCACTTCCGTTTTAGACCCCGCCCCCCTGTGAGTCTCACTCCTCCTAGAGCCCCACGCTGGAGACCAGGCTTCGACCTGGGAGCCTTTGGGAACATTTAAGATTCACAGTGTAGGGGCCGGGGATTTAGCTCAGTGGTTTCGCTACCTGCTACGCAAGCGCAAGGACCCGAGTTCGATGCCTGGTACCAAAAAAAAAAAAAAGATTCACAGTGTAACAGACAGGCAATGTTTGAAAACACTGCAGTGGCCGGGCATGGTGGCACAGGCCTGTGACCCCAGCACCCAGGAGACTGAGGCAGGAGGGTTGCCATGAATTCAAGGTCAGCCTGGGCTGTATAGTCAGTTCAAGGCCAGCCTTAGCTACATGGTGAGACCCTGTCACAAAAATCCAAGAAATAGGGGCTAGGGATTTAGCTCAGTGGTTCCGACGCCTGCTTCGCAAGCCCAAGGACCTGAGTTCCATCCCCGGTACCAAAACAAACAAACAAACAAAAATCCGAGAAATAATCTTCTTAAAAGAAGGCAAGAGTGAATGAGGAAAGCCTGAGGAAAACCTCCAGCACTGTGGGAGGCTGAGACAGGAGGGTCTCGGGCAACTTCAGGGAGACCCTATTTCAAAATAAACAGTAAAAAAGGCTAGGGGGCCTTTAGCCCCCTAGATTTAGCTCAGTGGTTCCACCGCCTGCCTCATAAGCTCAAGGTCCTGAGTTCGATCCCAGGTACAAAAAAAAAAAAAAAAGGGGGCTAGGAACATAGCTCAGTGTGAGGGCCCTGGTTCAATTGCAGCACCAGGGGGAGTCTGGGGATTCAGAAATACACATGCGTCTTCAGGGAAAGGAAGACCGAGGAGCCACGGAGCAGCCACTGTGGCCGTCCCCAGTTCCACGGGTCAGGTGTGCAGGGAACCCTCATCACAGGCGTGGGGCCACACACCTGGCATCCTGGCACCCAGAGGCTGAGGCAGGAGGACTGCAGCGAGCTTGAGGCTGGCTTGGGCTACATAGGGTGACCTTGTCTCAAAAAAACTGAGAGAAAAAAGGAGAAATTATATGGAAAACTGGAAAACACGAGACCAGTGATGCAGCATACCAGGCTCTCAGGAGGTGGGCATGGCTGAGCCCAGGCAAAATTGCAGCTGTCTACGCCTCTGAAACTTAACCTTACACCTCACGGGAACAGAAAAAGCAGGGGGGACTATATTTAGAGCCCGCAGAAGGAGGCAATAACAAGATTAGAGCCGAGATTAAACAGGGGGCTGGGAAAATGAGCGGCCTTCACTGGAACCTGGAATTGCTTCTTTGCCAAGATAACAAACTTGATCAGCCCATAGCTCTCATGGCAAAGGAAAAAGAGAGGTGACACACAGCTAAAGTTAGAAAGAAAAGTGAATGAGTCAGGTGTGGCGGTGCACACCTGTAATTGCAGCTACTCAGGAGGCTGAAGTAGAAGGATCACAAGTTCAAGGCCAGCCTGGGAAATTTAGAAAGACTCAGCCTCAAACAAAAAACAAACAAAAAAACCCCGCCAGATGTAGTGCCACATGCCTGTTGGAAAAGAAATGCAAATTTAAAAATGCAAACGCGGCCTAGGGGTGTAGTTTAGTGGCGCAGCGCCTGCCTAGCAAGTGTGAGGCCCTGAGTTTGACTGCCAGCACACAAAAATGCAAACAGCAGCTCTCTTGCAATCTACTTCTTTTTGCCTGCAGATCCACCCCCTGTCTTTTCCACGGCTGTATAGTACTCCCTGGTGTGACCACATGCTAATATGTCTCTGGGCTCTGGCTCCCCATGAAGAGACTCACTCAGGTTTCCTCAGCTTCACATCCAGAGTGAAATGCCCAGACTACAGGGCCCTCCCTCGCTCAACTGCACAAAATGTTCCCACTGCTCTTTGTTGTGGTGGGCCTGCTTCCCAACCCAGTTCTGGTACTCAGGACTGACTGACTCTTGACTCTGGAGGCCTGCCTCGGGGTGAGGTGGGGTCTCAGGCTGGTTTCTATCCTGCAGTGACTTAGGCTGGGCTTTCTGTACTTTTGGTTTGTTTGAGACAAGGTCTCACAACATAGTTGAGGCTGGCCTTGAACTCACAGTGATCCTCCTGCCTCAGCCTCCGGAGCGCTGGGACGACAGGTGTGCAGAAAATGACACCTGGCTCTGTACTTATTTACCCACGTGCTTCTATGGGGCTGAAGGAGCCCGGGGCCTCGGGAGCCCTGTTGTCTGCAGGGCCCAGCCCCCTGCTCAATGGCTGGCTTGTGCCACATGGAGGGACAGCATGTCCCCAGCACAGGGTCACCCACACCAGCCCCCAGGCTTCTCTGCAGCTGCACATGTGCCCCTGACGTCCTGTGGAGCCTCCTGGTGCCCCATGGAAAATGCACAGTCCCCGCCCACCCTGCCGGTGTACCCTCGGTGTCCTCTGATCACTGGGCCCACGCATTGTGACCCCCACTGCAGCTCGGGGACCCAGCTCCGTGAGGAGCAGGAGGCCCCGTGTTCCTGGTTGCCAAGTCGCTAAACTGCCCAGGCTGTGTGAACTCGTGATCCTCCTGGTTCAGCCTCCCAGAGTGCAGCGATGACAGGCATGTGGCCCGCCGAGCCAGGCTTCACCTTCCCGGGCGGGCCGTTAGGTAGGAGAAGGAGCAGCCTGGCCTGCGCGGGCTCTTCCCTTTCTGGCCAGGGCCTGAGCCCGGAGCTGGACATGGGCAGTGGCGGCCTCCGTGACTCAGCCCGGGGGCTGCGGGGCCGGAAGTGGTGAGCTCAGCCCCTGGGACCGGCTGTCTGGCTTCCTGGCCGCGGGGACCCCCAAGGCCACCCGAGCCCGGCAGGAAGCTGGTCAGCTGAGGCCCTCCTGACCGGAAGCCGAGCGGCCTCCCCGCCCCCGCATCTCGTGACTGCCCTGCATCGCTCTGTGGGGCTGCAACAGCGCTGTTAGGAGGGGCCTGCTGGATGCCAGGCCCGCGGGACTGAGCCGTGCAGGCCCCTGGGGTCGGCTCTGTCTCCTGTGGGGAAACAGGCCTCCTGTCTAAACCAGAGCGTGCAGAAGGGAAAACACCAGGAAGACTGGAGGCTGCCTCTCCTGTCTCTCTTTCTCTCTCTCCCCACCCTGTCCCTGAACATGTCTAGGCAGGTCTCAGACCCATCTCATAAATGCCTGGGGTCACCAGTGCCAGAGGAAAGAGCCTGAAGGTCAGAGGAAGAGAGGGCAGGGACTCATTTGCCCCCTTCACGTTAGCCAGACTCCTCACACTGGAGTTTCCAGGATGACCTTGGTATCTCCTTCCAACCCTGGGGTTTTGAAGCATAGGTAGGAGTTCTCCACATTTAGTTGCAGAGCTGGGGGTGGCTCTTCCTGGGAGAAGAGGGCATGGGGAAAAGTGAGACTGGCTGGGGTTAACAGAAAGGAGGGATGGGGTTCCTGTGCCCACTGGGGGGGCCCTGTTTTCTTCTGGGGTCCAAGGGGAGCCATGGAGGGTGTTAGAGACCCTGGGCTCTGGGACCTACATCTCTGAGTGAGGTTGGAAGCTCCCGTCTGCACCGAGGAAAACATATTTTTTTCTTTTCTTTTGACACAGGGTCTTACTAAGTAACCTGGGCTGACTTTGAACTCTCAGAGATCCTCCTGCCTCAGCCTCCTAAGTGCTGGGATCACAGGTGTGCGCCACCATGCTCGGCATGAGGGAACAGCACTGAATGGGGCCAAACACAGCCTCCCAAGGGGCCCCTGGCCAGGGCCACACTGTCCCCAGGACCCTCCCGTCCTCACCCAGTGTCTCCCAGCATAGTGGTCACTGATTGCTTTCCTTACCCCTGCTGTGATTTGGGACACACCTGCCACCTCCCAGCACAGTGCTGGCCCAGGAGACACAAGGCCACCCGCCACTCCTTGTGGCCTTCGTGAAAATAGTCGGTTACTCCCCAGAGTCCTGTGATGGCTGGCGCAGAGGGCTGTTGGGGGCAGAGGAGGTACCTGGACATGGCGGGGGGTTGGGGAGAAGAGAACAGCAGTTTGTGGACGGAAGTTCTCCAAGAAGCTGCATTGATCGGAAAGAGCCCATGGTGCCGACCTGGCCGTGTTGTATGGGGCCGAACACTGTGAGCACTGGGCCATGCGCGGAATGTCAGCAGGCCTGTGGTCCCGGCACTCCTAAGAATGCGCTTGGATAACGTGTGAGCCCCACAGAGGTGGGCACCCTTGTTGCTTGGCTTTGTGGAGAGCCCTTAGAGCCTGGGAAGCGCTCACCTGCGACTCTGGTCCTGTGACCCAACCCCCCGTCCCTGCTGGAATGAGACAGGGTTAGCAGCTCAGAATAAACCGCTTTCCTGTTTCCTTTAAGCCCACCTTCTTTTTTTTCTCGGTACTGGGAACTGAACCCAGAGCCTTCGAACTGAGGCAGGGTCTCGATAAGTCACTAAGATGCCCAGGCTGGGTTCCAACTTGAGACCCTCCTGCCTAAGCCTCCTAGAGTGCTGGGATCACAGGCGTGTGCCACTGTGCTGGGCCTCAGGGTCCTTATTTTACGTGGACGAATGACTGATCCAGCAACAGCCGTGCGCCAGGCTCCACAGCAAGGGCTGCAAAGGTACATCTCACTCAATTCCCACAGAGCCCCTAAGACAGGGAAGCCGAGGCTGGTGGAGGCAAAGTGAGGCCTCTGCCCTCTGGGGCTGCTCAGGGCTCTGGGTGGCTTTCTGAAGAGCCCATCCAGGGGTTCCCACTGCGTGGCGAGACACAGGAGAGAGCGGAAGGGCCGGGACTCCACCGGAAACCTCCAGTGGCCCCCGACTGTGCCTGTGCCTGCCCATACCTCCCCACAGTGCCCGCCAACATGCGCCGCCTCGGGCGCGTCACGATGCAGAGCACTGCCGGCCGCAGCCTGCACCCTGGTCGTACCCACACTCCAGAGGCTGAGGCAGGAGGATCGCAAGTTCAGGGCCAGCCTGGGCAACACAGTGAGACCCTGTCTCAAAATAAAAATTGTAAAAAGGGTTGGGGAGCAGCTCGCTGAGTTTCGGAGCACATGTGCGGCTCTGGGCTCCCTCCCCAGGGGCCCCAAACCAACAAGAAAAGAGAGGTGTTCCCTCCAGCTAGGTAGAAAGACAAAGCCCTTTGCTGCTGCCCTACGGCTCAGGGCAGAGGCTGGGGAGGCACAGCAGATAGGGCTTTGTCCCCGCCATCCCCCAAGAGACTTCTGGGCTCAGACACTGCACCCAAGGGGCGGGGAGGTCAAAGGCCACCCAGCTCCTCCTCCACCCCAGGGCAGTGAGGTGCAGAGGCAGGGACACCAGCTGTCCTGGCTTCTAGCCACAAACCTCACACACAAAGGCATCCTGGAGCCAGGCACGGTGGCGCACGCCCATGGTCCTGGCACTCGGGAGGCTGAGGCAGGAGGACCACAAGTTCAGGCCCAGCCTGGGCAACTGAGTGACTTAGTGAGACCCTGACTCAACATCAAAAATAAAAAAGGGCTGGGGTGCAGCTCAGTGTGGAGGCCCTGGGTTCTATCCCCTGCACCCCTTAAACTACACAGGACAAGTGCTGGGCCTCCGTTCCTCGCTGAACTACTGCATAGGATGCTTCCATCCAAGTCCTGACTGACGTCCTGCCAGCCGCTGCTCTGCTGTCCTCGGGGACCTGGCCGTCCCCACCCTGCCTGCAGCTGCTTGGCCAGAAGGCACCAAGCTGCCGCCAGCATCAGCCTCCTCCGCCTGGCTCCTCTCAGGCCACAGGCCTGGCCCCCCACTTGTCCGCATGCCTCGTGGGGCGGGGCTCTGCTTTCCCGCCTGCCCCGAGTCTCCAGGGACAGAGGGCGGTGAGGCAGGGGACTTGGTGAGCTGCTCCTCTCTTCCCACACCCGCCCGTCTGAGGCCAAGATGGACGGACGGACGGACGGAGGTGGATGTGCTCGGAGAAGGTGGTGGGTTTGCCAAGAGGTGAGCACAGAAATCAAAGAAAGGAAAGGAGAAAATAAAAAGCCTGCGGGTGCGAGGGGCTCGTTCAGGGGGCGCGGGGCTGGATAGAGATGAGCGGCAGAGGAGGCGCTCGCCCTGGCCAGTGATGGGCCAGGGTCCCAGCACAGCGGTGACAGGAGGGACGTGGATGATGCAGGGGTCCCGGCTCCTCCCTCCGTGCCCTCGGCCTGCCCAGACCGGACCGTGGGGCAGAGCCCCGAGCCTGACGCCTCCTCCCATCCTGAGGTGCCCGCAGCCCGGGAGCCGCAGCGGCAGAGCTGACAGCGACATCTCCTGCTCTCGTTCTCAGGAGAGGAGCTGGGGGTGGGGACCCGGGGGACCACTCCGGCCGGGGGCTGGCTACTCAAGGACGGTGCCCCTCAACGGGTCACCCTGACACCGCCAGAAAAGCCCGGGCCCAGGAAACAGCCTCCCCAGGGCCGCCGGCCGGGACCCCACAGTCCTGCAGCAGCAGGAGGTACCCGGGGTGGCAGGAGGGGCAACCGCCGCAGCTGTTGCCAGAGAAGGCGAGTGACACGCAGGGGTCAAGGGAAAAGTGCTCCCCCCAACAGGCTGAGGCGGCCTGGGCGCGCTCCCCGAGGCCTTGCTGCCGTGACCCGGGCTCCCGGATGGGTGTCAAGGCCCAGCTGCCCCACCTGTCCCGAGCGATGACATCACCCCGTCCCGTGCCTGCTGAGTTCAAAGTCGGCAGGAAGAGAGATAAACCTTGACTCCCTCCCCGGTCTTGGGCAGGCACCAAAAGCCATCCCCAAACATGCTGGGTCAGGTTGGCTCCACATCCTCCTCCCGCCCACCCGGACGCCAGGCCCGGACTAGCTGTGACCCTGGAGAGTTTCGGAGAGTTTCAGAGGGTCACAGGCAGACCAGATCTGCCTCCCCCCGGGGCTGACCCTGGGGGCCACCACTCAGGGCAAGGGGGTCCCTGTCCCAGCTCCAAAACAAAGATGTAGAGTCTGAGGTTCGGTTTTGGGGGCAGAAGGCAAAAGAGGCCACATCGTAGGAAAAAGACACTTTTGTTGTTGGCTAAAGCCAATGTTTTAACCAAAGGGAATATAAATTACTGTGTTCCAGAAATAGCACTATTGCTTTGAGAGAGGAAAAACAAAGGAGAAAGGGAAAAGAAAAGCAAAGCCAAAGAGCCAGGTGTGGTGGCACACACCTCTAGTCCCAGCACTTGGGAGGCTGAGGCAGGAGGATCACTGTGAATTTGAGGCCAGCCTGGGTTCTGAGACTCTCAAAACACAACCAAAAAACAAAACAAAGAGAGAAAAAATGGAAAGGAAAGGGAAAACCAGCCATATCCAGAAGCTGGCCCCATCTGAGGCTGTCCCTCTTTGGGGACATGTTTTAGGGACCAGGTTCTTGATGCAACGTTCAAATCAGAGCAGTCAGGGACAGAGCGACTCTGGGGCTCTTTCACCAGCAAACTTGAAAAAGCAGATTCTGGGTGCCCCCGGTTGTGGCACCACCGGGCAGACCTGTGCCAATCCAGGCCTGCTGGCCTCCTGGCTGCAGCAGCTGCCGTCCCCGCAGACACTGGGAAACGGGAAAGTCTTCGGCCACTTCCTTCATGTCAGCCAGTGCGTTTGCTGAGGAGGAGGAGGAGGTGGAAAGTCGGATCCGCAGCGGCGGGCTTGTCCTCCCCACCAGGCTTGGGGCAGGGGTCCCCACAGACCAGGTCACGGTGGCCTGAGGGCCTCAGTGTTCGTGGCAACAGCTGATTTGGCCGTCCGACTGCTCCAGGACGTCCAGCATCTCCTCAATGATGGCCCGCAGCGCCCTGCCCAGCTGGTCTGCGTTGTAGGGCTTGCCCAGCGGGGGCACGTGGACGAAAGCCGAGCGCCCGTGGCTCTGGTACAGAGAGGTATAGTAGGTGAAGTCACAGAGGTACCTGGGCCATGGGATAGAGCAGGAGAGAGCACAAGGTGCGTCAGAGACTCGCTGTGTGGCACCCATTATGGTTTGGATCTTAAATGTCCCCCAAAAGTAGGTTGAAGGCTTGGTCCTCTGGCAGGGGCGCTATTGGGAGGAAGTGGAGCCTTAGCAGGCGGAAGTAATGTCAGGGGGCGTGGCCTTGGAGAGGATATAAGGTCCTGGCCTGCTTCTCTCTTGCCTTTAGTCGGCCATGATGAGAGCAGTGTTGTTCCACCTTGACGCTCCTGCTGACATGCTCCACCTTGCAGCAGGCCCAAAAGCATGGGGGCAACTAATAGTGGACTGGGACTCGGAAACATGAGCCGCAGTCTAGCTTTCTTTTTTTTTTTATTGTGTTGAGACAAGGTCTTGCTGTGCAGTCCAAGCTAAACCTTGAAATCACTATGTAGCCCAGGCTGGCCTTGAACTCGCAGCGGTCCTCCTGCCTCAGCCTCTCAAGTGCGGGCAAGAGTTGGCATACTAAACTAGGGAACACGGTGTGTGTCTGTAATCCCAGAAAGCTACAGCCACAGAAAGCTGACACAGATACCAACTGGTCATACACTTGGCCCCCAAAGGCTGACAGCATGCATGGTCTGGCTGCAACACCACACTTGGCAGGTGGAGGGAAAACCTGCTCACGCCCACCCCACAGGGCTCACCATACCCTACCTGCCAGCATCCTGCGAGATGGTCACTGACACATCCAGCCCCAGGGTGGTGACCCTCTTGCAGACGGCATCCATGTCGATGATGGAGTCAATGCTTTCTGGCCCGTCCTCCACACAGCACTGGGAGCCAGGGCAGAAGCGGCAGTTGTCCAGTCCCTTGTAGCCCTTGTTGTGCCCACATTTCTCCAGTGTGACCGTGGTTGCCATGCCTGATACCCCAACATGCACCACCAGCTGCAGACCGATAGGGAGGGCTTAGCAGAGCCTGGCTGTGGGACTGTGGGTGCTCCCAGGCCACGGAGAGAGCAGCATCTTCACTGGGCTTTGCCTGGGGTTATGGTTTCTGGCCTCTTGCTGCTGGAGCAGACCCTGCAGTCACTCTTGCAGAAAGGTTTGCCAAGCAAAACAGACAAAGGTGTGAAGCAAGAAGCTTTGTTTGCAATTACAAGAGAACACTGGAGACAGTTTAGCCATTCAGGGTGGGGTGTGGTGGTTAAGCAAATAAGCAACTAGGTAGCGGTTAAAATGCCCAAGGCAGCTTAGAGGGAATGATCTTTAAGAGGTACACATGGTGATCGAAATATACTGTGAATGTTTAAATTTTTTAAAAAGCTATTACAGTAAAGACATATTGTCATGAATCCCCTCTAAATCCTCCCTTTTGCTTCAACGTTTATCCAGTCACCCTGGCCACTTTCTGAAGCAGTTCCGGGAGTTGTGAGACCTTTTGTGAGACCTTACAAGGCACAATAAAAAAAATATGGTGAATGCTCCTACCATGTGCCATCTCACGGAAGGGCAGGTTCACAAGAACATGACGCTGTCCTCATTTGCTTTGTTCACCAGACCTGGGCCAGGTGACTTCTGGCTTTTCCCCAAAGTCAAAATGACCACGAACTTAAACATTTGATCCATTCAGGATGCTGAGGCAGCCAGGACAGTGTGGCTAAAGACACTCAAAAAAAGAGTACTGCAGAGTGGCTGCAGGAAGTGGCCAGGATGACAGGGTGAGTGTGTGTGAAGCAGTGGGAACCATTTTGAGGGGGATTCATGGCCATGTGTCTTTTATTGTAATCGATTTAAAAAAATGTTTTAACCATTTGCCATTTAAAAAAATCACACCCTCTACAGCCAAGTACAAAACTCCAAGTATAACTTTCAGGGATCTAGCCTAAAATTTACCAAATATGTCAGAAAGACAGTCACTTCAGTGTCATTAAGTGATACTCAAAACAAAACAGCAATTAAAAGCCCAAAACAAATACGTGTGGCCCATAACTAAACAATGGCTATGCTAATTATAAACAATTATGTATTCTGAAAATAATGTGGCCTTTCTGGGGGTTTTTTGGTACTGGGGATCGAACTCGGGACGTTGCACTTTCGAGGCAGGTGGTGGAACCACTGAGCTAAATCCCCAGCCCCTGAAAATAATGTTTTTACTTATTTAGTTAGTTTTGGTTTTTTGAGACAGGGTCTCACTATGGAGTTCAGGCTGGCCTTGAACTCACCCAGATCCTCCTGCCTCAGCCTCCCGAGTGCTGGGATCACAGGTGTGGACCGCCATGCCTGGCTAAAATAGTGTTTTGTTTTGTTTTGTTTGGCACCAGGGATCGAACTCAGGACCTTGTGCTCGCCAGGCAGGTGCTGTGCTGCTGAGGTAGATCCCCAGCCCTAAGATAATGTTTTTAAATGTAATTTTGAAAGTAATTTTAATGACTTAGGTGATTAAATCCTCATGACATAATATTTTTTAAAAGCAGGATTCCAAATTGAATAGCTTAACTTCCATTTCTTTCTTGTGTGTGCTTTCACACCAAGGGCACACCATAAATAACCATGTGAAGATTTAGAATTTAGGCTGGGCCAGACATGGTGCTTCACACCTGTCATCCCAGCATTCAGGGGGCTGAGGCAGGAGGATTGCCCTGGACTACACAGTGAATTCAAGGCCAGCCTGGACTATATACGGAGACCCTGTTTCCAAAAAGTTAGATTAAATTAAATTAAGTTTGGGTCAGAGGTTGGGCTGTGGCTCTAGCACTTAAGTCAGGAGCTCTGGTGTTTATAAAATGATGTAATCGTCTGGTGACCTCTCTTGGATCGGATCCTGTCCTTATGCAACATGTGACTGGAACGCATGTTATTTTTTTAACTGCAGGATTACAGTGAAGGGAAATCATAGCCACGGAGCCAGGGCCCCTCTGAAAGGCATAGTGACTCTGGCCGGGCTGGAGAAGCCAGCTCCTTAGAACCAAGTCTCCTGGCTGGGGTGCAGCTCAGCGGCAGCACGGTGTGGGCCAGCACAGGTGGGGGCCCTGGGCTCCAGCCCAACACCAGAAAAGAATGGAAGCGGGGTGTGGTGGCCCAGGCCTGTAATCCTGACACTCGCACTCCGGAGGCTGAGGCCAGCCTGGGCTACATGGTGAGTTCAAGACCAACCCGTACTGCACAGCCAGACCCTGTTTCAAGAAACCAAAACAAAACAAAAGGAGAGGAAAGAAAAGAAAATCAGCTGGGCATGGCAATGCAGGTCTGTGATCCCAGCACGAGAGAGGCTGAGGCAGGAGGATCTCAAGCTCAAGCCTAGGCAACTCAGTGACGTAGTGAGACCTTGTCTCAGAATAAAATAAAGCGAGGCTGGGCTCGGGGCTCAGGGTGAAGGCCCGGGCCGCCCCAGTGGCGCAGAGAGAGACCCACTCACCTGTGGACTGTGCTTCTCCCAGAGGGCGGGGATGAGCCTCTGCACGGTCTGGTACTCCACCGGGATCTCGTACACGTGCAGATCCACGCGGTCCCCCAGCCCCAGCTTCTCCAGCTCCTGGGGTGGGCAGAGGGCGGCATGGTGCTGGGTCCCCACCTACCCAGGCCAGCAGGGCTGCCTGCCACCCGCCCCGAAGCCACCTAGGTGCCCGCCCTGCCTGGGTGACCCTGGGTAGAACATTTAACCTGTCAGCTTCCTCTGTTTCCCATCGGTAAAAAGGAATAATGAAGAACTTAGCTCCCAGGAGAGGTGGCACGGACCGAGGGGGCCAGTTAACACTGCGAGTTCCGAGCCCCGCCTGGCCTGTTGTAAGTGTTCTGGTGGTGGTGGCTGCCATTACTGCCCAGGCTGGGCTTGACCTCACAGCCATCTCCCTGCCTCAGCCTACTGAGTGCTGGAATGACAGGCGTGTGCCACCACATCTGGCTTGGTTAGAATTATTTTTAGGCATGGTGCCTGGTTTAAACATACACCTAACTCTTCAGGGAGCTTCCAACAATATCAGAGGTGAAGGGATTTAAGAATCTCACGGAGGTGGGCTGGGGATTTAGCTCAGTGCTTCTGGCGCCTGCCTCGAAAGTGCAAGGTCCTGAGTTCGATCCCTGATACCCCCCCCAAAAAAACCAGAATCTCACGGAGGTGGGCTGGGGATTTAGCTCAGTGCTTCTGGCGCCTGCCTCGAAAGTGCAAGGTCCTGAGTTCGATCCCTGATACCCCCCCCAAAAAAACCAGAATCTCACGGAGGTGGGCAAGGTACCACAGCAAGTGCTGTAATCCCAGCACTAAAGAGGCTGAAGCAGGAGGATCTCTATGAGTTTGTGGCCAGCCTGACCTACATAGTGAGTTCAAGGCCAGCCTAAACTACATGGTGAGATCCTGTCTCAAAATAAACATGAGGCCGGGGATTTAGTTCAGCGACACTGTGCCTGCCTTGCAAGCGCAAGGTCCCGAGTTCAATCCCTGGTACTGCAAAAATAAATAAATAAAATAAAGAAAGAAGTAGCCCCTTGGCTGGGTGCAGCGCCACACCTCTGAAATCCAGGAGCCTGGGGCAGGAGGCTCTCAAGTTCAAGCTCAGCCCGTGCATGTCCGTGACTTAGTGGGATTCTGTCTCAAATCAAAATGTGAAAAGGGCTGGGATGCAGCTTGGTGGTGAGCGCCTGCCTAGCATGTGCAGAGCCCGGGGTTCCATCCCCACCTCTGGAAAACCAAACAGACAAATAAATAAGGAGATGGGACCTTCAGGTGCTGATTCAGATGCTGCTTGGGCCCTGATGTCTCCTCGGTTCCCAAAAATGGGGCACCTCCCGAAGCCACTGTGCACAGATCCCCTCACATTTCCTGCCTCCCACCCTGTGACGCCAATGGGGCCCTGGGGACTTTGCCAACACCAGATGTGGCCTGTGGACCCTAGGCTAGGACTGGCCGCCGAGACCAGCACCTGTGTAGCACACCTCGTGTTATAAGCAAGAGGAACTGGGCTAAGACCTTTCTCTCTCAAAGACAAAGCACAGCGGGCCAGGGATGTAGCTCAGTGAAACAGTGCGTGCCTGGGAAGCAGGAGGTCCCGAGTTCGATCCCTGGTATTCCCCCCTCCAAAAAAGACAAATTACGCTGTGTGTGGTGGCGCATGCCTGTCATTCTAGCACTCAGGATGCTGAGGCAAGAGGATCAGTACCAGCTCCAGGCCACCCTGAATTGCACAGTGAGTTCAAATCCAGCTTGGACTGCATAGCAAGACCCTGTCTCAAAACATACAAACAGACAAATCAAAGGACACAGAACCCACAGGCAGTAAGAAAACAATATGGGGAGGAAGCTGAGCATGGTGGTGCATGCATGTAGTCCCTCCTACTTGGGAGGCAGAGGCAGGAGGATCGCCTAAGCCGGGGAGTTAAGGCCTGCCTGGGTGACCTAGTGAGAGCCCATCTTGCGGGGGAGAAAATGGGGCTGAGGGGACAGCTCAGGGGTAAAGCACCTGCCTTGCATGGGTGAGGCCCCGGGCTCCTCTCCTAGCAAGCACCACACAGAAGAACTGAAAAAAGATAAACTGGACTTTACCAAAACTAAAAGAATTGAACATGACGTTTTTCCAGGTGTTCCATGGCCAGACTGCGCCACCTTCTGGACAAAGAGGGAACAGGCGAGGGAGCAAAGAGCAAGAAGCTGGCTGGACGCTCGTCCATGGTCCGTGAGCCAAGTCAGTGTTCCACCAAGTCACAAAGCAGAGCAGCAGCACCCAGCCCCGCTCCGCTCCGACGACCTGCGTCAGCCTTGGCCCTCGGGAGATCCGAGGAACGTCTCGAGTCCCCTGGGGCAGGGGCTGCTTCTTAATACCAGGCTGGAAACCTGGACGTAAGGACAGCAAGGGCTGGGTGTGGTGGCGCACTGCTGTAACCCCGGCACGCGGGAGGCTGAGGCAGGAGGATCCCGTGTTCGAGCCCAGCCCGGGCACCTGGATCTCCGAATAAAAATAAAAAGGGCTGGGGGTGCAGCTCAGTGTTAAGGCCCTGGGCTCCATCCCTAGTGCTGGGGTAGGAAACAGCAAACAGGGAAGACTCACCGGGCAGAGGAGAGGCTGGCAGTCTGCAGGGGGACTCAGTCACAAAGCATCTCCATCAGACACTTTATTTTCCTGCTAAACTGCCCAGGCTGAGGTGGAACTGTGGATCCTCCTGCCTCAGCTTCCCCTCCAGCAGGTGTTAGAAAAGGACTGCACAGCAGCTTTACCAATCGTGCGAGCCGTGGGACATGAAGGAAGACAGGGGCTGTGCAGGTGACAGGGCTGAAGACAAGGGGCACAGGAGGGCTGGGGCCTGCAATGTGCTCTTGCTATCAAAGGCACTTGCTGGGCAATTAGCAAACCCTGAGTAAGGGCTGCAGGTTACAGGGCCCCGAGGGTGTTCAGGATGTCAGATTGTGCTCAGTGTTGAATCAGTTTTAGGAAATATGCAGCACATTACTTAGGGGACAGGGGCGGCTCTTCTGCAGTTCACCCTCATTTTCTCTCAGGCAGAGAAAAACTATCTGCAGACACAGACAGATGTAGTAAGTATTAACATCTAGAGGCGGCTGTGGTAGCACACGCCTGAATCCCGGCACTCGGGAGGGTGAGGCAGGAGGATCACCGTGAGGTCGAGGCCACCCTGGGCTACACAGTGAGTGCAAGGACAGCCTGGGCTACATAGCAAGAGTCTGTCTCAAAAAAAAAAAATTAAAAGAAAAAAAGTCTTAGGACTCTGGGAGGCTGAGGCAGGAGGATGGCAAGTTTGAGCCCAGCCAGGGAAACTTAGCAACTTAGTGAGATCCTGTCTCAAAATTTAAAAATCAAAACAGGGTTAGGGGTGCAGCTCAGTCCAAAGGCCCTGGTTTCAACCCCCCAGTAACAATAAAATTAAATAAAAAGGGCCGGCGTGTGGCTTAGTGGTAGAGCACTCCTGGGGTCCATTCCTAGTATCAAAAAACAAACCAAACCAAACAAAAGAAAGAAAGCGAAAAAGGAGCCACCTCCACGTGTTCAGAGCTTCCGCCGGGGCCTTGCCCCCAGCCCCTTGAGTCAGTGTAGTGCCACTGGCTCCGCAGGAGGAGGCAGTGGGGAGGCAGAGGCAGCACATGCGCCCAGCTGCCACCTCGAAGCCTTCTCGGGCCGCCAAGCAGCTCTGCCCTGCAGACCCTCCGCCACCCATCTCTGGGCCTCGGCGCCAGCGCTGCCTGCCTGCTCAGGGCTCGGCATGCCATGTGTCCATGTCCACGTGGGCCAGGAGGAGCTGGTGTTCTGATCCAGTCACAGAGGGAATGACCTTATAAATTCATCTATATTTTTGAGGCGGGGGTCTCACTCGGGAGCCCAGGCTGGCCTCACACTCCAGGCGATCCTCCTGCCTCAGCCTCCTGAGGGCTGGGATGACAGGTGTGCACCCCCACATCTGGTTTTGTGTCCATTTTTATAAGGGTCAGAAAGCCCAGGTGGAGCCGTGAGGAGTCGGTGGGTGTCATGCAGCCCCTCGGTTTGCCCCAGCTTCAGGGGAGGGGCGACCTTGGGGAGGGGCTCTGCGCAGCTCAGGTCCCGCCCCTTGGCTGCCTGCACGCGAGCCCCACAGGGCCGCCCGAGCCCCAGCGCAGCGGCCCCACCCGGCTACCTGACCAGACCCGTGCACGCGGCTGACCGACTCCCTTGACCTCACAACAAAGGCCCTCTTTGTCCGCCCGTAATATCCTTAGCAGGTCTGTCTAGACGGGCTGTGGGCAGTTGTCCCGGATGACATGGCCGAGGCCCAGGGCCCCTTGTCTTCGGCACCCACCGGGGCCAGGCCACGCCCCAGGACCTGGGGCCACGGACACGGGGGAAGCCGGGGGGGGGGGGGACGGACAGAAGGGCACTCCTGCTCTGCCACCCCACAACACTACCTCCCCAGTGTGGGGACCAGTTCTCCCAGGGCGGAGGAAGGGAAATCAGGAGAGAGAGACGAAAAGGCGGAGGACACAGAGCAAGATGAGGTGGCGCACGCCTGCCGTCCCAGCTACTCAGGAGGCTGAGGCAGGAGGCCTGTTTGTTGGAGCCCAGCCTGCTGGGCTACTTAGTGACTTCGCAAGGCGTGGTCTCAAGACAAAAAAATAAAAGGGCTGGGGCGCAGCTCAGTAGCTCAGTGTGAGTGAGGGTCCCGTGTCCCCCCCCCCCCCCATGCCACTATCACCAAAGCAAGGGCTGGCTGGGGTGGAGAGGACTCGATCCCAGCCTGGTCCCCAGTGCAGGAGCCAGGGTCAGAGAGAGGGGGCGGCCAGTGACCGAGGGAAGTGGGCTCCTCACTGGGGGTGGCCTGGGCTGAAAGTGTCCTCAGCTGGCACCTAGGGTGGAGGTGACAGACACCCCATGACCGCTTCCGAGTGACACCAAGAACACGTATGTGCCCAGGTGTGTTTTCTGGAGGGGCGGATGTGTAGGCTGAGTACGAGGCCAGCCTGGGCTACACAGAGACCCTGTCTCCACTAACCAAAACAAAAAAACAGGAACTTCTTGGATTATACAGCCAAGAGAGCACTCAGCATGTATCTTTGGACTCTGGAGTGTTTTGTTTTTAAAGGGAAACGATCGGATCTGAGCAGCTGAGCATCTTTTCACCCCAGACCCAGGCAGGACTCTTCCTGTGCCACCACTGTCAGGAAAGAGTAGGAACTGGAGCTGAGGGGCACTGGGTGGATAAAAAGCCGCCAGCCTCTGCCGGCCACAGCCCCGGCCCCAAAGCTCTGAGGATTTCCAAAGATTGTTTAATTGATTTTTTCTCCTATTTACATGCAGATGCAGCGTCTGGGGCCCAGGAATTCAGACACTCTGCTTTGTGTCCCTGAGCCCCGTGAAGGCTCCTGTCTGAAACTCCACAAAGCCGGACACAGGAGTCTGCAGAGACACGCTGTTTCTTTTTGTCTGCGCCTCGGGCCGGGCAGGGACAGGGTCCCATCTGCGGGTCCCCATCCGGCCTTCCACTGCTGCCGAAGAAGACACTGACGGACTGGAAAACCAGGGGCGGGGCACTGAGGCCTGGGGTGGGAGGGTCACATAATGGGGTCCGGCTCGGGTCTCCCAGCAAATGCAGGAGGCTGGGCGGGGAGCAGGGACACTTTAAATCAGCCAGCCAATGGGCCAGATTAATAGCGTTTGACTGCAGCCATTGCCAAGCTGATTTTATAAAAGGAGAAACATTTCTGCCTCTCTGTTCATTGTTCCCCAGGCTTCTTCCCCCACCCACCCTGTGCCCATATGGTAAGAAACTGGGAAGATCCCATAGGCAGAGGACACCAGAAAGCCACTCCCTTCCCCCCGCGGTTAGTATGCAGGGGTTTCCTCCCCTGGTGACTGTGAGGTGACAGCAAGGGTCACTGTGGGCCCTCGTACAAGGTTAAAGACACCCCACTCCAAGAATAACCTGTAAGTGGCCAGGGGTGCTGGCAGATGCACTCGAGAGGCTGAGGCAGGAGGATCGCAGCAAGTTTGAGGCCAGCCTGGGCTCCACAGTGAGACCTGTCTCCAACTTCCCTCCCTCCCGCCAAAGAATGACCTGTAATCACCACTCAGGGATGGCCGGGGAGTTCAGGAGTGCCAAGCCCCCAAAACAAACTCAGCAACATGCCTGGTGCCGCTACAGTCTGATGTCTGGAGATTTGAGTATTTCTTTTGTTTTGTTTTGTACCAGGGATCGATCTCAGGTCCTTCCGCTTGCAAGGCAGGTGGTGGAACCACTGAGCTAATCCCCAGCCCCAAGATTTGAGTATTTCAAAGGGGTGCCACTTAGGGCCAGCAGGGGCCCTGCCCTGGGCTGACTCCCCACATGTGAGTTACCTGGACTGCGATCCAGCTGGCATTCACGGTGTGCTCCCCAAAAGGGCCGAACCCTGAAAACAGCGAAGCGACATGTCACCCACCAAGTGCCCCTGACAGACTGTCCCAGGCCAGTGCTGTCCCCACCTGGAGCAGAAGCAGCAAGGAGCTCCTGGGGGTGGCCGGCACTTGCGACAACGCTGGGGTCTGGTCCTGAATCCAGGCCCACCCAGGGGCCCCTGAAGCCCCCAACCTCCTTTCAAACCAGGCCCAGGAGCCCTTCCTTCCATGACCTCAGGGCCAGCAGCCTCCTCTGGATCCCCCCAAGCTGGCCTCTTCCTTTCTCAATTTCTTTTTGGTTTGGTTTTGGTTCTGGTTTTGGGTTTTTGGGTTTTTTTTTTTGGTACTGGGGATCGAACTCGGGTCCTTGCGCTTGCGCAGCAGGTGGCGAAACCACTGAGCTAAATCCCCGGCCCTGATTTTGGTTTTTGAGACACGGTCTTACTACATAGTCCAGGCTGCCCTCAAACTCAGTATGGAGCCCAGTCTGGCCTGGAATGCATGGCGACCCTCCTGCCTCAGCCTCCAGAGAAATGGGATGACAAGCATGCACCACCAGACCTGGCCTCTTCATTGCTCAGTTTCTTACAGCCACCTTGACACAACTTATAATTTCTTTTTTTAGATACTGGGGAATGAACCCAGGGCCCTTGCACTGTGCTACATCCCAGGACCTTTTTATTTTTTTTTACTTTGAGACAGGGTCTCAGTAAGTCATGAAGTTTGGGCTGGGCTGGAACTTATGATCCCCCTGCCTCAGCCTTCCAGAGCGCTAGGATTATGGGCAAGTGCCACCATGCCAGGCAAACTCCCTGTAATCACCTCATCACTGTCTCGGTAGGGCCTGTCCCCTTGGTCCCCACTGGACACACAGACACTGAATCACCTCGGTGAGGAATGGCCCACGGGCTGCTGAGGCTCAGGTCCCTGAAACTCAGACAGCCACCCTTGGAGCACTGTGGCACTCAGCCTCAGGCATCCCCTTGCCGGGCAGTGTTTCCTGGCCGTGTGCAGCACTGGGACCAGAAGCCACAGAGAGATGAGGCAGGTAGCCAAGGTCTGGACGCAAGAAGCTAGAAGAGCCGCCAGCTCGACCCTTGTGGGAGGTTATCCAGGCTGAAATACAGACATCTCCGAGGGTGGTGCTGCACGCCTGTCATCCCTGCTACTCAGGAGGCTGAGTCAGGAGCATTGCATGTGTGAGGCCAGCCTGGGCAGCTTAGAGAGACCTTGTCCCAGAATGAAAAATAAAAGGAGGTGGGCAGTAGCTTGGTGAGCAGGAGCCTTGCCTGCCCTAGGGGGTTCCACTCCCCAGTACTGTGGGATAAATGAAGTACCACAAATAAGCCGCCGGAAAGGGGGTCCATTCTGGGTTGAGAAGCCCACTTAGTCGGAGTTGTAGAAGGGACACGGCTCGGGGCCAGCAAGGAGGGCCACTCACAAACTGTCCTCTCTGGAAGGTGCGGGAGGCCCGGGCTCCTCCCCTGCACACCGGCTCGGTGGGGGCCCCCGGTCGGGGATCCCAGCGGCCCAGCCCAGCCTTCGGGCGCAGGCACCTGTTGGGCCGCTCCTTGGCCCAGGGACTGCAGGTGACACCGAGGCCTGCGGAAGTTGGCCAAGTCCCGGAGGCGGTGGCGCACGGACAGCTCCTCGAAAGTCTGGCCGGGACGGGGACCCCGCGGGGCGCAGCCCCAGGGGCGGGAGGCTCGGGCACAGGGCGGGCTCCGGGCCAGCGCCTCCTCCGCTATCGGCCTTTGTCCCCCGGGGCCAGGGCTGGGCCGGGGCAGAGCAGTCCGGCCGGCGGGCGGGTGGCGCCCGAGTTTCCCGTCCCCCCCGGGCAGGAGGGGCGCGGGGCCTGCGCGCGCGGGGCCACCGCGGGCCACCCGGGCCGGGGACACTTTCCGGTCGCTGCGCTCCCGAGGGCGATGACAACTCCTTGACCTGGGACCGCGTCCAGCCCCAGACCCCTCCGCCCCCGGGGCGGCCCGACCTGCCCCGGCCCGCCCCGGCCCCGCCGCCGCATACCGGTCACCACCACCGCCTTCCGGGGCTGCTCCATGGCGGGATCGCTGCGTCTCCGGCCCGCGGGCGAGGGGACTGGCGCGTCCGCTGCCGCCTCCTGGGCTCCGGGCCGCCCCGCCCCTGCCCCGCCCCTTCCCTTCCCGGCCCCGCCCCCGGCCAGGCTCTGGGCTCGAGCGTCCGAATCCCCGCCCGAAGCCACTCGGGCCCCGCCCAGACCCCTCGGCTCAGTTCCCTCCCGGCCCCGCCCCTACTCCAGGCCCTAACCCCGGCCTGTCCTTCAGGCACAATCCGATCCCACCAGGCAAGGCCCCGCCCCAACCCACCCGGACCCCGCCCCCTCCCGGGCCTTCAGTGTGCGCCCGAGGGTTTAGGCCCGCCCCCTGGTCCCGGCCGGGTGGTCTGTGTGCACGCGCTCTGCCCCGCCCCGCCCCTGCCCCCGGGAGCATGCGCGCGCTCGGCTCCTCCCGGGCACCGACACCGACCAGGCGTTCAGCGTGCGCGCTCCCAGCGCCCTCCCCAGCCCCTCCCAGCCCTCGCCCCCTGCCGGCCAGGTTTGGGGGGGCGGTCCACGCCCTCGACCACGCCCCCGATCGCTCTCTGCGTCCCCCCCGCCCAGGGCTCCGCTGTCCTGCCCTCCCTGGCCTAAGTTTCCTTCCCCGTGGGATTAGGCAGTTCATGAGTGCGGTTTATGCGAAAATGATCTGGTCACAGAAGCGAGGGGAAACTGAGGCATGAGTGGGAAGGTCATTTGCCTGAAGCCACTGGCTAGAGCCTGGAGGGGTCACAAAAGCTGCCTCCAGGTCAGGAGAGGGAGGGCACTGAATGAAACGGGAAAAACTCAAAAACACAGCGAGGACCCTGGGTCGGTGAAGACCTGGCCTTCCACATCTCCCAGCACTGTGTGCCTCCTCCACGGGCGTTCCCAGGGCCTTTGCACGTCTGTGGCCTTCCCCAGAACCACTGCGAGGGCCTGCAGACCGCGCACCGGGGCTCAGCTTCAGGGAGCTGGGGCGGTTGCACCCTTCACGGGAGTCATTCCAGAAGGATGCCAGCTGCCTGCGCAGGTGTGCCCACGCCGTCCCCGGGCACACAGTAGGTCCCCTGCCTGTGACCTCTGAGGCCAGGTTCCCTACACAGAGCCACAGCGGGGCTGAGCTCCTGGCCATGTCCCCAGAGCCAGGTCGGGCCTGGGCGGGCCTCGCTTCCAGCCCTTCTAAGCGGCCCTGGCCTCAGTGCCCAGGCCCCCGGGAGGACATCCCCGCGGGCCACCCCGTGCCCCGGGAAGAGTTCTCTGTGTGGCAGGGGCCTGGCAGACGCAGGCCTGAGGTCACAAGATCACAGCTATTTTGGTCCTTGGCAGCTTGGGGTTGAATTCAGAAAACCTCGGAACCGGCCTGGGCCGGCTGCACCGCGCCCAGAGGCAGGTGCCTACCAAACCCCGCCCTGGGATGCTGCGTATGATCCGGGAATATTCAGAAACAAAACGACCCAGAAGCTGGGCGTGGTGGCACACGCCTGTCATCCCAGCAACTCAGAAGGCTGAGGCATAGGCCGGGGATGTAGCTCAGCGGTTTCACCGCCTGCTGCACTTGCGCAAGTGCAAGGACCTGAGTTCAATCCCTGGCACCAAAAAAAAAAAAAAGACAGAAGGCTGAGGCAGGAGGATCACTGTGAGTTGGAGGCCAGCCTGAGCTAGGTAGTGAGACCTGTATCAAAACGCCTCCCAAAATAAAAAAATAAACATCCCTGTGGCAGGGGACGGGGACTGTAGCTCAGGGGCGCTGTGCTTGCCTGGCAAGCGCAAGGTCCTGAGTTCAATCGCTAGTACCAGGAAAAAAAAAAAGGAAATAAACAGGGCTCTGGCTCAGTGCTAGAACCCTCGGCTGGTGTGTGCTCCGTAATGGATTCCATTCTTTGTACCAGGAAAAAACATTTTCAGGCCAGAAAATACCACAAATTAATCACACTGTGGACTTCTGGGGGAGGGAACCAGGATAGAAGGTCGGCTGTGGAGGCACCTTGAATGCATTTTGTACCATGGTTCTCAAAGTTTATACACCTTGTAGTGTGTGTTGCCACCTCGTTCCTGTTCCCAGCTGAGTAATATTCCATTGTGTGGACGGACCACATTGTGTTTAGCCATTCATTCCTCAATGCACACTCAGTCTGCTTCCACCTTATGGCTGTTGTGAATGATGCTGCTGTGAAAAGGGGCATGCAAATATCTCCTCATGATCCTGCTTCCCATTCTTTCAGCCACTAGAGTTTTGTAACTTTTTATGTTAAAATCCTTTAAGACTGACTCAGAGTTGCAAACTAGTTCCAAGTTTCCCCTGAACTTCTCCCAGAGAAATGCTTTACCTTACGAAAACATTGTCAAGACCAGGAAATGAATTCTGGTAAAATGTCATGAACTTGGGAAACACCTATTTCTTAGAGCTATTTTTTTCTTTTTCTTTCTGTACCAGGGATCGAACTCAGGACCTTGTGTTCTTGAGGCAGGCGCAGTGGCACTGAGCTAAATCCCTGGTCCTTGTTTTTCTTGTTGTTGTTGCTGTTTGTTTTGAGACGGTCTCCCTATGAAGCCCAGGTTGGTCTCAAACTCTTGAGGATCCTCCTGCCTCAGCCTCCTGAGTGCTGGGAAGACTGGCATGTGCCCCCATGCCTGGCAATTTGTGGTTTTTTTGATTCTGAGATATGAAACCAGGCCAGGGCAGGGCTGGGCACTCAAGCCCCAAGGGCATCGTACTGGCATCCTGCACCCTGTGGACCTTCAAGCCGGGGCTCAGAGAGGCCCCAGGTGGGTGTTTGGTCCCCTGGGCGGAGAGGACAAAACAACTGCGGCTGTGAACCCGAAGACACTGACTCAGACATTGACTGGGGCTCAGGTTTCTCAGAACAGAGAGACAGACGCCTTTGGTCCCCAAGGGGCATCCCCAAGGGACAGCCACGGCCGCCGGCAAGCCAGGCCCAGACACTGGACAGGAAAGGGAGCGTCTAGCAGGTGACCACAGGTACAGCTGCGCCGAAGGTAGCACAGCTTCCAGGACACCCGCGGCTCTCAGACTTCGACCCGAAACTCCTTTATTAAACAACAGTTTTGAAGCAGGGCGTGGTGGCACAGGGCTGTCATCACAGCACTTGGGAGGCTGAGGCAGGAGGATCACTGTGTGTTCCAGGCCAGCCTGGGCTACAGTGAGTTCAAGGCCAGTCTGAACTGCATAGTGAGACCCTGTCTCAAAAAAGAGAAAAACAAAAAAGGAAAAAAAGAGAACTGCAGCACTCAGGGTCAACGGGTAGGAGAGGATGAGGGTTACACAGCGTCAGGGCGATTGCGCAGTTCTAGTGAAGCCCCAGCTCGCCCAGGCCTGGGTCCCTGGCCTTGCCGCGGGGAGGGAAAGGGGCTGAGCAGCCCCAGAGCGGCCCGCACGCACCCTCTGACCTTTGCCCCTACACATCTGGGGCCAGGGACTGAGAACAGCACTTGGGTGTGGCGCGGTCCTGCGCTCCAGGATAAGAGACCGGATTAGATATTAGATAGGAGGCGCAGCAGGGGCGAACAGCGCGGGCGGAGTTGGGCGGG